GACTACACCAGGACTCAACCAGGACTCAACCAGGACTCAACCAGGACTCAACCACTCAACCAGGACTCAAACAGGACTCAAACTCAGGACTCAAACAGGACTCAACCAGGACTCAAACAGGACTCAAACAGGACTCAAACAGGACTCAACCAGGACTCAACCAGGACTCAAACTGGACTCAAACAGGACTCAACCAGGACTCAAACAGGACTCAACCAGGACTCAAACTCAGGACTCAAACAGGACTCAAACAGGACTCAAACAGGACTCAACCAGGACTACACCAGGACTCAACCAGGACTCAAACAGGACTCAACCAGGACTCAAACTCAAACAGGACTCAACCAAACAGGACTCAACCAGGACTCAACCAGGACTCAAACAGGACTCAACCAGGACTCAACCAGGACTCAAACAGGACTCAAACAGGACTCAACCAGGACTCAACCAGGACTCAAACAGGACTCAACCAGGACTCAACAGGACTCAAACAGGACTCAAACAGGACTCAAACCAGGACTCAAACAGGACTCAACTCAGGACTCAAACTCAGGACTCAAACAGGACTCAAACAGGACTCAACAGGACTCAAACAGGACTACAGGACCAGGACTCAACCAGGACTCAACTCAGGACTCAACCACAGGACTCAACAGGACTCAAACAGGACTCAACAGGACTCAACAGGACTCAACCAGGACTCAAACAGGACATCAACCAGGACTCAACCAGGACTCAAACAGGACTCAACCACCAGGACTCAACCAGGACTCAAACACTCAAGGACTCAAACAGGACTCAACGGACTAACAGGACCAGGACTCAACAGGACTCAAGGACTCAACCAGGACTCAACACCAGGACTACACCAGGACTCAAACCAGGACTCAACCAGGACTCAAACCAGGACTCAACCAGGACTCACACCAGGACTCAAACCAGGACTCAACCAGGACTCAAACAGGACTCAACAGGACTCAACCAGGACTCAACAGGACTCAGGACTCAACCAACCAGGACTCAAACAGGACTCAACCAACTCAAACAGGACTCAACCAGGACTCAAACTCAACCAGGACTCAAACAGGACTCAACCAGGACTCAAACAGGACTCAACCAGGACTCAAACAGGACTCAACCAGGACTAAACCAGGACTCAAACAGGACTCAAACAGGACTCAACCAGGACTCAACAGGACTCAACTCAACCAGGACTCAACCAGGACTCAAAACAGGACTCAAACTCAGGACTCAACAGGACTCAAACAGGACTCAAACAGGACTCAACCAGGACTCAAACAGGACTCAACAGGACTCAAACAGGACTCAAACACTCAACCAGGACTCAACCAGGACTCAAACAGGACTCACCCAGGACTACAGGACTCACCAGACTACACCAGGGACTCAACAGGACTACACCAGGACTTAACCAGGACTAAAGTGTTTCTGGTGAGTTTTGGTCTGAGTCAGTGTTTCTCAATCTGTGGTGTGTGGGTGAAAGTTCCTCTGCAGTTTGAGCATTTGTTTTTTGATTTTTTTTAAAATTATTCTTTATTTGAAACATAAATAATATTTGGTGAATAGTTTAATCCAGGAGAAACTCATTTTGTTCCGGGGGTCAGTGTCCGGGTCAGAAAACTCATGTCATATAAACCCCAAAAATAACAATAAATTCAAATATTTGTGCAGAGAAACACAAATTTATTACAGAAATCTTTTTTAACTGATGAACTCTTTGTTTTACAAAATATTATAATAATATGAACAACCTGAAACTTTAAGAAAAATACAATTTCAACACAAAGTCTGAACATGAACTTGTGCTTTTCATAGAATTTCTTTTTCCTCCTGAAACATGGATCTTTTAGCTCAAGTGCATCAGTGTCAGGCACCGTGAGGAGCTCTTATCTTCACAATGAGGGCCACATTAAAGGTCTTGGAGGGCCGAATCTGGCCCCCGGGCCGTATGTTTGACACCCATTTTAAAAGGAAAACTGGATTAAAAAAACATACAAAGCAACAAATGAGTTTGTAAAGTTCATTAAAACGTGTGTGGTTTGTGTCGTCAGAGGTGAAACGGCAGGAGCTCATTTGAGAACTGCTCACTGTTTATGGTTGAAGTTTTCCGATCCTCCAGGCGCTGGATAAATGTGAACGTTCCATGTCCCAGCAGAGCCTCACACGTGCAGGAGATGTGAGTGTCGACTCACAGCTGACTGGCACCGTGCACCTGAGCACCTGCAGCAGAACCTAACCACCCCCCTGTACGACACAGAGAACCTGCAGAAGGTCCCACGTTTATGATTCCACCACAGACGAGGAGCGAACAGAAGACGACAACAGACTCTGAACAGAAAACATTTAACATCACACACTACATTTCCTCTGCAGCTGATTCTCCTGAGCTACAGGTTACAGTCTCCTGATGTGTCTGTCCTCCTGCCAATCATCTGTCACTGAGTCTACGTTCAGTCTGCAGCCTCATGTGACCCCAATCCCAATCCCAATCTGTATCTGATCTTTTAATGACACACAGAGCTGATTTTTATTTTTTATTTTTTTGCTCCTAAAACCGATACTTATCTGATCTTCTGACATGTGACTTCAGTCTGAACGTCCAGGTGGTTTAAAGTTCACACTGAAGATCAAACACAAATCACATTTAATCTGAAAAGTGAAGAATCTTGACTAAAAATCTGATTTCACAAAAAAATCTGAATTGAGCGTTAAGCTGCAGTCTGAAATCTGAAATCATTCGTTCATTTGTTTTTCAATATAAAACCAAAAATAAGAAAATGAAAAAACAACTGCTTCCTTCGTTATTTGTCTCCAAAACCAAAATGAAAAAACAGATAAGGATTCCTTTTTTCAGTTTTCGATTTTCTGTTTAAATGAAGAATGGAAAAAACGGATAATGGCCGTTTCCTGTTTCCCGTTTACGTGACGTCCGTGACTGCGATGCCGGATTTTGCACCGCATACGGACTGAACCAGGACTGATCCAGGTCCGAGACCAGACTGGGACCAGGCTGGACTCCGAGCTTTGACTCTGAGCCTCTGCGGGGTTCGAGCCTCAGCTTCGAGCTCCGGCCGTGGACTTTGAGCCTCTGGTCTGGTCCCAGTCTGGTTCTGGTCTTGTCTCGGTTTCAGGCCCGCTCTGGTCCCGGTCTGGTCCCGCTCTGGTCCCGCTCTGGTCCTGGTCTGATCCCGGACCTGGTCCATTTAAATAAAAAGCTCTTAGTTCGGTTTGTTTTCGTCGGTGTGAAAGTGTCAGTTGGATGTTTTGCTCCACCTCAGAACCAGTCGTGGTTCTTGAGTGTGGACGACTGGAGCAGCTCGTCCGGACCTGGAGTCCACAGAACATCTCACTTTCCCCACACAGAACCAGCGCACAGACGATGACACGGAACTGCTCGGACTGCTGGTCCCGGTCTCAGTCCCGCTCTGGTCCCGGTCTGGTCCCGGTCTGGTCCCGGTCTCAGTCCGATCTGGTCTCGGACCTGGATCAGTCCTGGTTCAGTCCGTATGCGGTGTAAAAGTCCGGCATCACAGTCACTGAAGTCACGTAAATGGAAAACGGTCGTTATCCGTTTTTTCCATTCTTCATTTAAACAGAAAATCGAAAACTGAAAAAATGAATCCTTATCTGTTTTTTCATTTTGGTTTTGGAGACAAATAATGACGAAAACAGTTGTTATTTCGTTTTCTTATTTTTGGTTTTATATTGAAAAAATTATGAACAAATGACACACAGATTCCCAAGTGACCAAAGGATCTGGACTCTTTAGTGTCTCAAGAGGCTGAACACATCATCTGAAGACAGGAAAGTTCATATTTTGATCCTATTTTTACTCCTCATGATCATGTTTCTCTGTTCATGTCATTGTTGTTCGCCGCCTGTTCTCGCAGTCTGAACAAACTTTTAAAGCTCAACCATCTGCAGACACGAGGCGACTGACGACCTGAGCTCCGACAAACGCGGCCTGTTGTACAAATGTTTGACTTTGCCGACACTTCATCAGTAAAAACATTCGGTAACGACGAGGAGAGTCCCTCACATGAAAGGATCTGCTGCAGCTTCGTCCCATTTGACTCTCATTAAATAGTCCACATACCAGAACACATCAAACACTCTGGCAAACCTCCGCTGACCTTCTGTCCCAGTCTCTGGTTAAACAGTGTGTAGACGATCTGTGTCGTTCAGTCGTTTTTCTATATAAAACCAAAAGTAATAAAACGAAAATACAACAGTTTTCTTCATTATTTGTCTCCAAAACCAAAATGAAAAAAACAGATAATGATTCGTTTTTTCAGTTTTCGATTTTGTGTTTAAATGAAAAATGGAAAAAAAAAAACGGATAAAAGCCGTTTCCCGTTAACGTGACTTCAGTGGACTGTTGAACCAGGACTGATCCAGGTCCAACAAGACCGGGACCAGACCGGGACCAGACCTGGACCGGAGCGGGACCAGACCTGGACCGGAGCGGGACTGAGACCGAGACCAGACCGGGACCAGACCTGGACCGGAGCGGGACCAGAGCGGGACTGAGACCAAGACCAGACCGAGACTAGATCAGGACTGAGACGGAGACCTGACCGGGACCAGAGCGGGACTGAGATCAGACCAGGACCAGACCTGGACCAGAGCGGGACTGAGACCAAACCGGGACCAGACCTGGACCAGTGCAGGACTGAGATCCAGACCAGACCGAGACTGAGGTCAGAACTGAGATCGGGACCAGGCCGAGACTGAGACCAGACCGGGACCAGACCTGGACCAGAGCGAGACTGAGACCGGTACCGAGATCGAGACCAGGCCGGGATCAGACCAGGACCAGGCCGGGACTGAGACCGAGACCAGGCCGAGACTGAGACCGGGACTGAGACCGAGACCAGGCCGAGACTGAGACCGAGACCAGTCTGAGTCCAGACCGGAGGCTCAGAGCCCACAGCAGGGCCGGAGCTCGAAGCTGAGGCTCTGACCCTGCGGAGTCTCGGAGCCAAAGCTCGGAGTCCACTCTGGTCCCACTCTGGTCCCGCTCTGGTCCCGGACCTGGATCAGTCCTGGTTCAGTCCGTACGCGCTGCAAAAGTCCGGGATCACAGTCACTGAAGTCACAGAAACGGGAAACGGTCACTATTTGTTTTTTCCATTTTTCATTTAAATACAAAATCGAAAACTAAAAAATATTGTGTTTTGGAGACAAATAATGAAGAAAACTGTTGTTTTTTCGTTTTCTTTTTTTTGGTTTTATATTGAAAAACGAATGAACGAACGACACACGGATTGTAGACCTCAACTTATCTGTGGTTTTCGTCTGATTTTAGACCTGCTGTACTGCATTTTCTGCACAATAGAGCGCGATCTTAAACCTCTAACTCCATCAAAAAACGACTGCGCCACAACCCGGATCCATCCCCGTACACGAATCCACTCGGAACGGAGGAACGAACCGAAAAAGCGAGTGCAATGTGCCACTTCTAGACACAACGGAACAACAGAGTCACTGCGAACACCCGAACAAACAAAACCACTCACCCGTCACACTGTTGGGTTTCATTTAAAGTCCCACGCCGTTTATTTGTGGAAAAAGTTTGAAACTAGACCATTTAATGACAGTGCGTCTTATAATCCAGAGTGCGGAAAATACGGTATTCTGACTTAGACCTTGCAGAGTCCTGGTTGAGATCTGGTGGCACTCGGAAAGTCAAATATTATCGTTGGGATTTGGGGTGAAGTTTGAACACCACAGTGATTTGAGATGATTTTACATTATATTTCACTCATTTTCTCTCATGTTTAGTGTTGTTAGATGTTTTATTTGACGTACGTGTTTTGCCCTTCTCTTTCTGCTTGAGGCCTTCTCCCTCAGGGTAGACGGGGGCCACGGTGACGGTGTAAACTGTGTCGGACAGAAGGTTCCTCAGGACGGTGCTGCTGCTGCCTCCGGAGACCTGCTCCTGTTTCAAAACAACAACACTCTTTTTATTTGTTTTGACGAGTTTAGATTCAGTAAAACTGGTCCAGATTTTTTTGGACGAGCGGCGAAAACGTCTTTAAACTTTTAGAACAGTCACAGAATCTTCTAGTTCTGAAGCTGAAGTCCTTGTGGAGTAAAGTGTGAGGAGGACACACACACTGACCATGTCCTCGGCTCCTCCCTTCTGCGGGACGTAGTAGATCCTGTACTGGCGCACGTTTCCCTCTGCGGGCTCCCAGCGCACGTTCAGCGAGCTCGTGGTCGGGTCCGTCACCTGCAGGTTCTTCACGCCCCCGAGAGGTTCTGCAGAGAAGAACACAGACGGGTTAAACACAACTTAAAGATGAGGAATTACACTGAAACACGTCACATACTTTAGAATGTCCATGTTCCTTTTATTGATTTGAAAAGGTTTTATTCACCCAAAACAACGTGTTCAACATGTTTTATGACTTTCACTTTCGTTTTTGATGCCGAGTTTTACATATTTGTGGACAATTGTTGTGCGGGAGCATGGGTGATGCAGGCTTGTGGGCGGAGCCTTGTACCAAAAATGATATTCTGACACCAAATTCGCCCCTACAGCTCCCAACCTCGACGAACGCGCAGTGTTGGGAAGTTTACTTTTAAAATGTAATCCCCTACAGATTACAGATTACAGATTACACACACCAGAATGTAGTTTGTAACAGAATCCATTAAATTACTTAAAGTGAGTAATGTAATCTGAATTACTTTGGATTACTTGATTTGTTGTAGAGAAACAAAGACGAGGAAATCTTCACCTAAGATGTTTTGTCTGTTAAAAGAAAATAAAAAGCCCAAACTTTACTGAACCAAATTAAAAATATTACTGATAGAAGAAGAAGAAACACGTCCACACAGCAGGATTTAGTCCTGTTAAATCCTGTTTAAATCCTGTTTTAGATCCTGGTTTTAGTCCTGGTTTAGTCCTGGTTTTAGATCTGGTTTTAGATCTGGTTTTAGTCCTGGTTTTAGTCCTGGTTTAGTCCTGGTTTTAGTCCTGGTTTAGTCCTGGTTTAGTCCTGGTTTTAGTCCTGGTTTTAGTCCTGGTTTAGTCCTGGTTTTAGTCCTTTTAGTCTGGTTTTAGTCCTGGTTTTAGTCCTGGTTTTAGTCCTGGTTTAGTCCTGGTTTTAGTCCTGGTTTTAGATCTGGTTTTAGTCCTGGTTTAGTCCCTGGTTTTAGATCTGGTTTTAGTCCTGGTTTTAGATCTGGTTTTAGACCTGGTTTTAGTCCTGGTTTAGTCCTGGTTTAGTCCTGGTTTAGTGTTCGCCAATGAGTGGAATTACGGGAAAAAAAATTAAAATAAGGGGGATTTAGCCCAAAATGTAAAAACAGGAAAATACGGCAGTGTAATCCATTTATTTCAACAAAGTAACTGTAATCCAATTACCACTCACTGAAACAGTAACTGTAACTGAATACAGTTACTCATCATTTGTACTCTGATTACTCCAGTACATGTAATCTGTTACTCCCCAACACTGTGAACGCTGCAGGTGACACACGGGGGGGAGCATGTCACAGTAAGATACATGAGCCACATAATCACCGTCACGTGACCAGAAGAAACATGTGACTCAGGTAAAACTCTGACAAAAAGAATCACTTCGTCCACGTTCAGACTGAACCTGAAGTGACCCAAATCCCTCTGCTCCTGTATCTGATCTATTAATGTCAGTCTGAACCACACAGATCTGAGGTTTTCAAACGTGACCCAGGACACTTGGATCTGTGCTCCTGAAACTGATCCATATCTGATCTTTAACATGTGACTTCAGTGTGAACGTCCAGGTCACATTCATCCACCTACACGTCATCAACAAGACACAAACGTCACTATTCTGCACTGAAGGAGGCGGGAACTGGAAGAAAACGCTCACAAACACAAATGTACAAACGTTCTTCTCGTCAGATGAAAATTGTGTGTGACTCTGTGTGTGAAGCAGAGAAGCACAGATCGATCCCTCCTCCGCTCTGTGACTCTACACACACACGTTTATTTCTCTGGACGTCGCTGCTGCTGCCCACAAAACACCACGACCAAAAACCTCGTCCTTCTCCTTCTCAGTCTCCACTCTGTGTTCTGAAATGTTCATGTGGGACACTTTTAAAGTTCACACTGGAGATCACACACAAGTCACATTTAACTGGAAAAGTGAACGACCTCGCAAAAAAAACATATCAGATTTCACAAAAAAATCAGACCTGAGCCTTACACCCTGCAGTCTGAACGTAGGATAATTTATTGCTGAAAACTGAAGAATGAATCTTTACCAAAGCGACGTGATCTTTTCAGACAGGAGAAGTGTTTTTTTCAGTGTGTTCTCCTCGTGTGACCCGCCGCACACATGGCCTCCAGTCCGTTTACTTTTTCTATAGAAAATCTTTTCTGGAACATTTGATTCTGAACATGTGTAAGGGTAAAAACGCGGGGCAGTTCAGCCTCGTGTGACGCGTCTGATCCGAAACAGAGTTTACACGTCCACTTCAAAGACTCACAGCTCACGGCCGGGACTGTATGTCTCCCCCAGCTCCTCGGCTCCAGAGACTCTTTATCCTCCTAGTGGAGTCAGTACGACACAGACTCAGACTCAGACTCAGACTCAGATTCAGACTCAGACTCAGATTCAGACTCAGACTCAGACTCAGATTCAGACTCAGACTCAGACTCAGACTCAGACTCAGACTCAGATTCAGACTCAGACTCAGACTCAGACTCAGACTCAGACTCAGATTCAGACTCAGACTCAGACTCAGATTCAGACTCAGATTCAGATTCAGACTCAGACTCAGACTCAGACTCAGATTCAGACTCAGACTCAGACTCAGACTCAGATTCAGACTCAGACTCAGATTCAGATTCAGACTCAGATTCAGACTCAGATTCAGACTCAGATTCAGACTCAGACTCAGACTCAGACTCAGACTCAGACTCAGACTCAGATTCAGACTCAGATTCAGACTCAGATTCAGACTCAGATTCAGACTCAGACTCAGATTCAGACTCAGATTCAGACTCAGATTCAGACTCAGACTCAGACTCAGACTCAGACTCAGATTCAGACTCAGACTCAGACTCAGACTCAGACTCAGACTCAGACTCAGACTCAGACTCAGACTCAGACTCAGACTCAGATTCAGACTCAGATCAGACTTCAGACTCAGACTCAGATTCAGATTCAGACTCAGATTCAGACTCAGGTCTCTGCAGTCGGGTCAAGGGTCTGAGTGATTAAAGTCTGTTAAACCTGATTTCTCAGATCAGATTAATAGAGATATTGGTAACACTTTATAATAACTACACCTTAGGCTGTGTTCAGTCTGAAGTTTCCCAAATCTGATTTTTTGCCTCTATGTTCCTGTATCTGATCTTTTAATGACGTCTGAACCACACAGATCCGATTTTTTCAAATGTGACCCAGGACACTTGGGCTCCGTTCAGACTGCAGGGTTTAACGCTCAATTCCGATTTTTTTGTGAAATCTGATGTTTTTTCGAGGTCGTTCACATTTCCAGTTAAATGTGACTTGTATGTGACTCCAGTGTGAACATTAAACGGTCCAAAAGTGTCCCACATGTGACACTGGAGACACGACGACGTCAACCGCAGCGAGCGTCTCTGTGTTTACACAAGTTGAACAAACATGGACGCAGCATCGAGCACCTGGAGATTTTAAAGTTCCTCTCGTACCAGAGTACGAGTCACACTGGAGTCACACACAAGTCACATTTAACTGGAAATGTGAACGACCTCGCAAAAACATCGGATTTCACAAAAAAATCGGAATTGCGCATTAAGCCCTGCAGTCTGAACGTAGACTTATTTAGCCTTAATGAAGCATGAAGAAAGGCTTAATTAATAATGAACAAAGACTTAATTAATAATGATTCACGATTACTACCTTAATTAGCACTTGCACTTAATTTGCCTGTGCATAATTATTTCATACTTAATTACTCATGAACTAACCATTTGAGCATTTATTAATCATTAATAAACTATGAGAGAATGATTTACTAATAATGCAAAGCAACGATAATTCAGGGAGCTGTTATCTGTTAGTTAAAGACTTTTCTGAAGTGAAGACGAATTATCCTTTATTAAACATTTACTAAGCGTGAATCATTATTAACTTAAGTCTTTGTTCATTATTATTTAAGTCTTTATTCATGCTTTATTAAGGCTAAATAAGGTGTAGTTATTATAAAGTGTTACCGAAGTATTTATGGACTAATAACCAAACACGTTTTTATCACGACGGATCCTGAATCACCTGAACAGACTCACGGATTTTTCTGTTTTGTTTAAAATGTGGAAATGTTTACGCGCCGATACGGATCATGAGTAATGTCGGTAAAAGACGTAAACTGAATCCGCAGAGTTACTCAAACAAAACACAGCTCCAGGACGTTTCTGAGGAGGACGCAACACGAGAACTCGAGGCTGGAAACACAACAGACGTCTGACAGGATTCCTCAGAACCCGACGGCTCGGTCGGACTCGGACAAATATTTAGAGCTTATGTTTGGGCTCAGTTCAGACTCGGACACATCGGCGAGATGAGACGTGACTGGACGCGGCCTGTTGCCGTCCATGTGTGCTGATGCTCTGTTGACGTTCCAAATGCCTTTTTTTTTTAGTTTGATACCATCAGACTCACATGTGTCATTCGGCTTGTGAAAAAGTGTGAGTTTAATTGTGTTGGACTCGGTTCAGATTCGATCACGACTCTGAAGAACGACGGCCGAGCTCGGACAGAAAAAATGGTCTCGATTCACACTCTAATTAGAACTAGAGACCGATCAGGCTTTTCTGTTTCAATACCGACGTCGATATTTTGGTTTTAAGTATCTTCCGATCATCAGTATCAGCCGAGTAACTGTAACTGTAATTCATCTTTTAAAGTAATTATATAAAAGCTTTGTAAAAACTGTTTAATATTCTGAGGTGTTTTTACGGAAGCCCTGAGAGGCAAGAAAAAAAAAAAAAAAAGAGGCAGGTCATTTGGGTTCTATTTTCTATGTGTGTGTTTGTTTGTTTTTTTCACCAACTCTAAAAAAAAAAAAAATTTTTTAATTTCTACCAAAAAAATAATAATAATCTAAAAAAAAAAAAAAAAAAAGAAGCAGGTCATTTGGCCTCTATTTTCTAAGTGTTTTTTTTTTTTTTTCACCAACTCAAAAAAAAAACAATTTCTACAAAAAAAAAATAAATAAAAATTTCTACAATTTTTTTTTTTTCTCTAGTGTATTTTTTCTTTTTTCGCTGTTGACGTGGCGGACGGGGAAAAAACAAAACAAAGCACCACTCAGAGCCTAAGTGTTTTCCTGGTATATTCCTATAAGTACCACACTTCAGGTCCGACAAACTGCCAGAGATTTGGCTTATGGCGTTTCTCCTCAAATCCCCATGAGCTCCTCTTGCCAGGCACGTTTGCTTGGAGCAAATCCTACTCCCGTGTTGGACAGGAGAAGTTTTACGCACAGCTCCAAAAGTTGCTCGTGAATGTTTAATAACACAAATATCCACACAAATCCCATCGCAACAAGAACGCGCAAAATGTCCGCTCCCGGGAAACACGAACGTTCTACGCGTCCGGGCGCACCTCAGTCCCGCTAAAACCAGAAATCTGAAGCATAATATAAAATAATAACAACATTTTTAATAAATAATGTGTCTATAGTCTCTCTGTGTGTTTTTTTCTCTCTGAATTTCGCTTTAGGTCCTGAGATCAGAGTTTAGACTCTCCTCTCTTCCTTGGAGGGAGGTGGGGGGAGAGGGAGAGCAGAGGAAGCGTCTGGGGAGAGTGCGGTACTCACTGGTTCTGCCCGTGTCGGAGGCGGGTCGACCCTCTATGTCGCTGTAAACCGGGACCACGGTGACTCTGTACGGAGTGTCCGGACTCAGCTCCCGCAGAACCGTCGACGTGCTCAGACCAGAAACACTCGTCTGGAACAAAACAAACACACGGGATTATGAACAGAACCAGAACCAGGACCAGGACCAGGACCAGGACCAGAACCAGGACCAGGACCAGACCAGAACCAGGACCAGAACCAGGACCAGAACAGGACCAGAACCAGGACCAGAACCAGGACCAGAACCAGAACCAGACCAGGACCAGGACCAGAACCAGGACCAGAACCAGAACCAGAACCAGGACCAGACCAGACCAGGACTAGAACCAGGACCAGAACCAGGACCAGGACCAGGACCAGAACCAGGACCAGAACCAGAACCAGAACCAGAACCAGGAAGAACCAGGACTAGAACCAGAACCAGGACCAGAACCAGGACCAGAACCAGAACCAGGACCAGGACCAGAACCAGGACCAGAACCAGAACCAGGACCAGACCAGAACCAGGACCAGGACCAGAACCAGGACCAGGACTAGAACCAGGACCAGACCAGAAACCAGAAGGACCAGGACCAGAAGACCAGACTAGGACCAGAACCAGGACCAGACCAGAACCAGGACCAGGACCAGACCAGAACCAGGACCAGGACCAGAACCAGGACCAGGACCAGGACCAGAACCAGGACCAGAACCAGAACCAGGACCAGAACCAGAACCAGGACCAGGACTAGAATCAGGACCAGAAAAAGGACTAGGATCAGGACCAAAGTAGTATTAGTAGTATTAGTAGTATTAGTAGTATTAGTAGTATTAGTAGTATTAGTAGTATTAGTAGTATTAGTAGTAGTATTTGTACTGTTCTCTCCTCTGGCTGTGGACATGTAGAGGATCTTGTACATCAGAGGTGTTCACACTTTTTCATCATGTGATCTACTTACAAAATGACCAAGTCAAAATGATCGACCTGATACAAAGTCAAACAAACTGCACTGAAACACTCTGTGGCCCTTTTCTGGACCCTCCCCCACAGTTTGAGAACCTCTTCTTTAAGAGAACTTCCTCTGACACTTTACACAAAACTGTGAAAAAGTGAAGGAAGATTTTTAAACCTGTTTTTTAAAGTTCCAAACTGGAGTTTCATTCTTTTGTGGTTTTGCAGTGATATTTACCAGCCTCTGCACGTTTACCAAACCAAACGCACATCGTGACAAACACAGATGCATTTGTCACTTTTGTTAGACAAACTTCAGCCAAATGTGGCAGTAGGTCTGTTCTGTAGATCCGCTCTATGCTGTAGACCTGCTTTGTGCCAACACTGGAACACAAATTTAGACTGGTTTTTGCTTCACGTTTGGTCTTGTTCTTCTAATCAGCCGCACTGTGGGAGGGGCTTGTGTTGGCTGTACGCAGGAAGGAGCGAGAGCGTGAAAAGGCGAGGGGCGGCGTGCTGACGTGAGGCAGGTGGACAGGTAGGATGTTTAGGAAGTTGAACCTGCCCTGTGATGCACGCTGGTACACGAGGGCACACGCTGTCGCAGACGAGCCGTGCATAGGGAGCGTGTGTGTTTGTGATGCGCCGTAGAGTCTCCGCGGGTTTCAAATGAGCGCACAGGCTGCACTGAGACGCCCCACACGCTCCTGCACCCGCTACAAGTTTATTACCAACAGCAGCGGCCGCAATGAAACATGATCAGACCTCGAGTGAGAGACAAGACCGAGTCCAAACGCGAGTCCGAGACGAGACACGACGATCTACCCACACGACCTTGGAGATCGACTGGTAGATCGAGATCGACGTATTGAGCACCACTGTTGTACTGTATATTAGTAGTAGTAGTAGTAGTAGTAGTAGTATTAGCAGTAGTATTAGTAGTAGTAGTAGTAGTAGTAGTAGTAGTAGTAGTATTCGTACCGTTCTCTCCTCTCCTCCGGCCGTGGGCACGTACAGGATCTTGTATTGTCTCACGTCACCTTCGGCTCGGTCCCACTGCACTCGGAGAGAACTGAACGTCGGGTCGGTCACTCTCAGGTTCTTCACCGTCCCCAGAGGCTCTGAACACAAACACAAACACACAAACACACACACACACAGAGATATTTACCCGAGCGGAGGTCTGATTTAGGGATGGGCATGATTAATCGATTAATCGATAATTGATCATTAAGAATTTCATCGATTCCGTTCATTTTAATGGACAAACTGAATGTATGTGTGTGTGTCGTGACCAAACAGGTGTGTACATGTGTCTCTGCATCAGAAGGAGCGAGACACAAACAGTGGGTCAGTCTGTAACGAACCGAAGCACAAATGTGGATTTAACCAGGATTTGTAGAAGAAATTCCACACTTTCCGTTGCGTTGGGACAAGTGTGAGTCCATGTGCACAGTGGATAAAGCAGCACATATGTTTCTGTGTCCAGTGGGAAAAAGTTTTTCCAGGTGAGAGTCGCTCAATGTGGATGACGAGGCCCCGCCCCCCTCCCCCCGTACGCTGTCCTGGTTTTGACAAACACAAATCTGGTCACACTGACCTGTATTCACCTGAGTCATGTCTTTTAATCCAACACAAGTTGAACCACATCAGCGACACAAGAGCTGGAGTTTTATCTTCACTTAGTTTATGTAAATTAGTGATGTGGTTTTAAGTTTTGTTTCTGTGAGATTTGAACAAAACTGAATTAAACACATTATAATGTCAAACAGCTGATGTGGATCTAGAGTCGTTATGTTTATATGTCGTAAAGTTGAATTTATTTATGCAGATTAGTGCAGATAGTAATAATAATGATGATCGTTTTAATATAAAAACGTTAATGATTAATCGATAATCAATCGTTAATTCTTCCGATGATCGATTAAGAAAATTTCATCAAAAGCCCGTCTCTAGTCTGATCTAAACCTGCACAGTGGATCTTCTGAAATCTGTGAGACAAAAACTCCAGAGAATCCATCTTGAGACACTCGCGCTGGACCAATCACAGAGCAGCAGTGCGGTGTGGGCGGAGCCACGGACCAAAACAAACACAACAACGACACAGACAGATGTACTTTTGTCTATTTTCACGGTTTAGTTTGTGCTAAACGCGCAGAGGGAAGTGCTGTGTGTCTTTGTGGATTGAAAGAGGTCGGCTCCATCGACTCTGGCACCAGTTCAGTTTCTGTTGAAAAAGCGTGGCCCGTCCGTCTGTCACTGCTCCTGTCAGACTCCACATTTGGTTTAAAATGTTTGTATTAACCCCAGGGTCTCCTCTCTTTCACTGACAAAATTTCAAAACTTTTCCATGACTTTTTCATGACCTACAGTGAATTTTCCATGACTTCACGGCTCCTGCACGTGTAGAACCGATCAGACTTTTAGGGCTAAATCTGAAGCGTGAACTCTTCCCACTCACCTCATGGTTTGGGATTATAGTTTTTGAACATTTAAAATTCTAAATCAGTAAATTTATTGTCGTCTCTTTTTTTAACAAAAGGCGCAGACGTTCACAAATAATCAGAACAGACTCACGAGAATCGAACAGAACGCTGGAGTTTTGTGAAAGAGAGACTAAAATTCCATGACTTTTCCAGGCCTGTAACCCGCTCGACCTGATCCCGGGGTTTAACGGCCAACCTCATGAGCTTCATTTGACTGGAGCTGATTTGTTTTCAGGCTGGAGTGAGGTTTAAACCACATTTAGTATTTTGTTTTTGTTTAATTTCTGTTTGTGACAAGATCCATTCTCCCACACCTGACACACACGCGGGAGGGCACCTGACACACTTAACACACGTGGGAGGGCACCTGACACACTGACACACGCGGGAGGGCACCTGACACACGCGGGAGGGCACCTGACACACTGACACACGCGGGAGGGCAACCTGACACACGCGGGAGGGCACCGACACACGGAGGGCACCTGACACACGCGGGAGGGCACCTGACACACACGGGAGGGCACCTGACACACGCGGGAGGGCACCTGACACACGCGGGAGGGCACCTGAACACACAACACACGCGGGAGGCACCTGACACACACGGGGAGGGGCACCTGACACACACACACGGGAGGGCACCTGACACACGCGGAGGGCACCTGACACACTTACACACGCGGAGGGCACCTGACCACACACGCGGAGGGCACCTGACACACGCGGAGGGCACCTGGCACACGGGACACCTGACACACGCGGGAGGGCACCTGGCACACGCGGGAGGGCACCTGACACACTAGGAGGGCACCTGACACACACGGGAGGGCACCTGACACACTGGGTTGACCTGGGGGTGTTGGATTTCGTCAGATCTCGTGTTTTTTTTTTGTTTTGTTTTGTTTCTTTTCTTGATTTTGAGCTGAATCCAGATTTGACTTTTTAAACAAACTCAGTCCAGACGTTACGGCGATGACGTCGTTTCCCGTTTTCCCTCCAGATGTTCTGTTAAACGTGTGACCGTTGCCGTTAGCGACAGGAAAGTCTCCCGGGACGGCGGTTGGTGCTCACGCTGTTCACTTTAATCGATACAGAAGGTTTTTACATCAGATGCCCTTCCTGTATCCAAATGAACTCATCTTCTTCCTCTCCTCCTCCTCTTCTCCTCATACTCGACCGTTCCCGCTGTGGTCTAAGCCGGACTCGGACTCGGACTCGGACTCGGACTCTCGGTCTGGTGTGTTTGGTGTTGGGAGGGGCGTTTGTTGCAGCTGCGGGGCGTCTGAGGCGAGAGGGAACGATCTGGACTCTATTAAAGATGAAAACAAGACCAGGACTAAACCAGGACTAAAGCAGGACTAAACCAGGACTAAACCAGGACTAAACCAGGACTAAACCAGGACTAAACCAGGACTAAACCAGGACTAAACCAGGACTAAAACCAGGACTAAACCAGGACTAAAGCCAGGACTAAACCAGGACTAAACCAGGTCTAAACCAGGACTGAAACCAGGACTAAACCAGGACTAAACCAGGACTAAACCAGGACTAAACCAGGACTAAACCAGGACTAAAACCAGGACTAAACCAGGACTAAACCAGGACTAAGGACTAAACCAGGACTAAACCAGGTCTAACCAGGACTAAACCAGGACTAAACCAGGACTAAACCAGGACTAAACCAGGACTAAACCAGGACTAAACCAGGACTAAACCAGGACTAAACCAGGACTGAAACCAGGACTAAACCAGGACTGAAACCAGGACTAAACCAGGTCTGAACCAGGACTAAACCAGGACTAAACCAGGACTAAACCAGGACTAAACCAGGACTAAAACCAGGACTAAACCAGGAAAGACTGAACCAGGACCAGGACTAAACCAGGACTAAACCAGGTCTGAACCAGGACTAAACCAGGACTGAACCAGGACTGAACCAGGACTAAACCAGGACTAAACCAGGACTGAACCAGGTCTGAATCTAGACTAAACCAGGTCTGAACCAGGACTAAATAAAGTCCAGGTCTGAGTGAGTTTTAATATCACGCTGCATAGTTTGTGTTTAGTTCCAGTTCCAGTTGATTTTTCTCTTATTAAAATTCAAATCTCGACTTTGGGCCAAACAGTGAAATAAAAACCACGAGATCATGTAGAGCGAGTTTGTACGAGCACGGCGGCGGCGGCGGCGGCGGCGGCGGCGGCGGCGGCGGGGTCGATATGTCCACAGGTACGTCCAGTCTGCAGGTGAAACTGGTCTTACAGATCCACTAAACTCCGTCCTGAACCTTTACTCTGCTCCGGCCCTGGAGTGATGATTGACAGCGGCCGACAGCCACAACAGTCCAACGCGGCGCTGACCGGTGCCTCTGGACTCTGAAACAGCGTTTGTGCTCGGATCACACGGATCACACGCCCGGCGGTGTCAGGTGGGGGCGGGGCTGAGAGGGGCGGGGCTGAGAGGGGCTCCTCCCGTCCCGCCCGTAGACGCCAGAGTCTGAGCTCGTCACGTAATAACCTGCGTCTGACTCATCGGCGCCGTCAGTCCAACCTGAAAACTCAAATGTTCTGCCGTCGTTGATCCTAAAGACGCCGATACAAACACGACTTTGACCCGAACGTCCCATTTTTAACAAATCTGCACTAAAACGTCAAAATGAGGCGAGAGGCAGAGACACACTTCTATTTTAGACACATTTACACAAATAATTACCGTATTTTTGGGACTATAAGTGTCACTTTTTTTATTCTCTGGTTGATTGAACCGTTACTTCTGCACCACTGGTCGAGGGACGGGCATTCGATGAAATTTTCTTAATCGGTCGTCGGAAGAATTAATGATCGATTATCGATTGATTGATTGATTGCATTTGGATATCGCCCAAGTGAATATTTGTCCAGGTAGTTGGAGATTCAGACCAGAACTTTGGTTTGGTCCAGGTTTTGTCGGGGTTGAAAAGGGTGATTTGTCGTCCGTCGATGTTTATGACCAATTTCTGGTCAAATGGTCTTGGGTCGTCTGCCGTTAGAGTGGATAAATAACCGGGATCAATACCCTTTACGTGCTTTCTCGCTCCGTCCGTCATGTTGAATTAGTGTTTTTTGCCCAAAATAATTCCCAGCATGAAACGCGCGCTTTTGTCAACAATAAAACTTGCCTAGTTATATTTCTTTTTTCTTTATCACACAGTTTTTTGGCTGGTGCGACTTATAGTCCGAAAAATACATTAGTAGAAAAGTGATTTTGCGTGACTTCAGTGGCTCTTTACAGTTGGTCATTGTCAGATAGGGTCAGAGTTGGACTCACTGGTCTTGCCCTGGTCTTCCTGCCTGATGCCCTCCACGTCCGGATACACCGGGACCAGGGCCACTTTATAAACCGTGTTGGAGTCGAGCCCCCGCAGGACGGTGCTGGTGGTGCCGCCCGAAACCTCCTCCTGGAAAACACACGGCAGACAGTAGGTTTAAATACAGTTTATTACAAAAACATTTTAACATCTGGATTTTTACTGAAATTTTACAGATTTTCAGTATCAATTCTGTTTGTATGATTGTCAGTTAAAGCTACTAAATAATGTTCCCTCATCAGAAACAGAGCTGGAGTTGTGTTTTGTTTCATTCACACGTTTGAGTGACTCTTTATTTTTACAATCACAATCACACTGTTCCACTTAGTGATGTCATGAAGCTTTAAAGGGCCCATCTCCTGCAAAATCAACTTTTCAGATCTTTCTACCTTCTCAGGGTGATGTGGATGTGTGGGCCTTGGATTTGTCGCCCAAGTGGTTTTTAGATTGATTCTGCTTTTTTTTTAAAACAAATTGCAGCGTATTTCTGCCGCCGTCCCACGTGACGAACTAAAGCTGCTACAACGACGACGCGGCAGATTCACCTAATGACACGTTTGACGGAGCAGAAAACGATTCACACCCGACCGCCTACAGTTTACTCAATATAATAAGTTTATCTTCTAGTGTTTATTAAAACTTTACCGATCAGTAATGTTCAGCTGATGTGGACTCGGTGCTTGAGCTTCGTGCTCCTCAAAGTCCTCGTCCGATTCCGGGTCCAACACATGCGGCTGAACGCGCTGAATCCGTGTGTCATTTGTTCATTTGTTTTTCAATATAAAACCAAAAATAAGAAAACTAAAAAACAACAGTTTTCTTCATTATTTGTCTCCAAAACCAAAATAAAAAACAGATAATGATTCGTTTTTTTCAGTTTTCAATTTTGTGTTTAAATGAAAAATGGAAAAAACAGATAACGACTGTTTCCCTTTTACGTGACTTCAGTGACTGCGATGTCGGACTGAACCAGGACTGATCCAGGTCTGGGACCAGAGTGGGATCAGAGTGGGGCTGAGACTGGGACCAGACCGGGACCAGAGCGGATTCCGAGCTTTGACTCCGAACCTCCGCGGGGGCCGAGCCTCAGCTTCGAGCGCCGGCCCTGACATGGGCTCTGAGCCTCTGGTCTGGTCCCGGTTTGGTCCCAGACCTGGATCAGTCCTGGTTCAGTCCGTATGCAGTGCAAAAATTTCGGCATCGCAGTCACGGAAGTCACGTAAACGGGAAACGGTCGTTATCCGTTTTTTCCATTTTTCATTTAAACACAAAATTGAAAACTGAAAAAACTAATCATTATCTGTTTGACAAATAATGAAGAAAACTGTTATTTTTTAATTTTCTTATTTTTGGTTTTTTTCATCTCCATGATGAATAAAAGTTTATTCCTGCCTCTATCAGGGTCACGTCTGTCTCCCCCTCCCTCCCTGAGATGGTGGAGGAAGGGCGGCTCACTCAGAGTCTACGTCACGTTTGGAGGGCGGAGCCTGTGCTTTCTCAGGACGGGCGGGGGGAGGAGCAATAGTCGCCGTAAGATTTCAGAACTATTGTGTCATGGATGTTCCAAAACCCAAACTGTGCTTGTTTATGTGCAGAAGATCCAATGTGAAAAGAGTTATTTTACATCAGATGGGACATTTAAAGATCATTAACAGCTCCTTTTACGTTTAGTTCAGTAGAGATCGGTGATCCCAGGTCTGAAATAAACCAAATGATTCTAGTGCAAGTGTGTGGAGTTTAAAAACACAGTGGAGTATTATCACATGACCTCACAAGGTGGAACGGAGTGTTTTTAGGTTGAGAGAAAAACACAACTCCAGGTCTGTGTGTGGTGAGGAAACAGAAACTAGCCAAATATGAGCTCTGTAATTATCATTTCTTTCTGATGAAGTTGCCAAATTTTAAATAAATAATTAAAATAAATGAGGTTTAAATTTCAAGCCATTTATCCAGGATTATCAGGATCTAGTTTGTGATGAACCCAAAAGAGCTCTGTGTGAGACGGTAACACACGACTAAAGCTTCAGCAGGTTTAGAGCTGAAGGTTTTGTGAAGATCTGATCGTGATGTTGCGTTTGGATTTGTGATTTCTTGTGACACTGGGCTCGTGTGGAAGCTCCGTACCATCTTCTCGGTTCCTCCGGGCTGCGCCGTGTACAAGACTTTGTAGCTGCGCACGTTTCCGGGCGCCGGGTCCCAGCGCACGGTGAGCGAGGAGATGGTCGGGTCTGTCACCTTCAGGTTCTTCACTCCTCCCATGGGGTCTGCGGGAACATCAAAAAACATAAACAAATGTGAACAAAGCTGAGTTATATGATGTAAAGTTGCGTTTATTTACGCAGAAGATTTGACTTAAGAATCTGCTGCAGTGTAAAACTTGTACAACAGTGTTCGGAAACGTTCGGTCTGACGTGTGCAGTGGATCGTGGAGCTCCTCCTCACCGCTGGTTAGAACATCCTGAGCTTCCTCTGCTGAAGGAGCTCGTGGAGGTTTGTATTTTTCCTGGTTTATTAGAGTGAGAGCTCAGGTGTCCGTGTTAAACAGGGTGTGGTCATAAATGTGTATCCAGAGATTCTTCTTATTTTTCTATTATTATTCAATGATTTTTCTACTGTCATTATTATTATTATTATTATTAAAATTATTATTATTATTATTAAAATTATTATTATTATTATTATTAAAATTATTATTATATTTTTATTATTATTATTATTATTATTATTACACACTTTGAATGATGGTGTTTTGCGTACACTGTCTGTTTCTTGATGAAGGTCGAGTGCCGAAACGTTGCACGGTTTGTCCAAATAAATCTCACAATTTGCAAGTCAGACGGTGTGCGGGTCTTGGGCTGCTCCCTCTCCTCTGACGCACTCGTCTCTAGTAACTCATGTGCGAAGTTCTCATTCTTTTATATTCTGGTTAATCACTCATTGATGTCAAAGCCCCAACACAAACTGGAAGCGACTATTTCACCCACAAACTCCACCACGCTGTTATTTTATTGGCTGACGCGCGCAAAAAATGTATCAAATCAGAGAGAAGATGTGGGACGTCGCTGCAGAACGACTCAACAAACTCGAGAACAAACCACAAGAAGCGAACAACGAGAGCTGAAACAACAGAGCGACGACATGTAGTTGGTCCAGCTCCAGGTGCAAGAACAAAGTTTTTATGTTCTTCTGAAGTATGAACAGGCCTTAAAGCTGCACTGTGTAACTTTTCACCAAACAACTCGTCTCCATGGTTACCGCTTTAACCGTTGGATATAAAACTGACTTAATAATTTTTACCAACAGAATGTCTGTATGTGAAATGAACGTGTTTTTGTAATGCACTTTTAAATGTATTTTAAATGTACTTTTAATGTACTTCTAAATGTATTTTAAATGTACTTCTAAATGTATTTTAAATGTACTTCTAAATGTATTTTAAATGTACTTCTAAATGTATTTTAAATTTATTTCTAAATGTACTTTAAATATATGTTTATTGCACTTTTAAATGTATTTTTGATGCACTTTTAAATGTATTTTTAATGTATTTTTAAATGTATTTTTAATGTGCTTCTAAATGTATTTTTAATGTACTTCTAAATTTATTTTTAATGTACTTTTAAATATATTTTAAATGTATTTTACATGTACTTCTAAATGTATTTTACATGTACTTTTAAATGTATTTTTATTGTACTTTTAAATGTATTTTTATTGTATTTTTAAATGTATTTTTATTGTGCTATAGAAATAAAGTGGACTGGATTGAAAACCTGCATTCTGACTGTCGCCTCTCCACAGATCTGACCTGGAACTGAATTGAATCTGACCCCCGCTTGTCTCCATGGAGACAGATAAAGTGATCTGTGATAAAGTGACACAGAGCAGCTTTAACTGTGAGACAGGTGAGAGTGACAGGTGCAGTGTGCCGTGTGTGTCAGGTGCAGATGTGTGTGTCAGGTGCAGATGTGTGTCTGTGTGTGTCAGGTGCAGATGTGTGTCTGTGTGTGTCAGGTGCAGATGTGTGTTGTGTGTGTCAGGTGCAGATGTGTGTCTGTGTGTGTCAGGTGCAGATGTGTGTCTGTGTGTGTCAGGTGCAGATGTGTGTCTGTGTGTGACAGGTGCAGATGTGTGTCTGTGTGTGTGTCAGGTGCAGATGTGTGTCTGTGTGTGTCAGGTGCAGATGTGTGTCTGTGTGTGTCAGGTGCAGATGTGTGTCAGGTGCAGATGTGTGTCTGTGTGTGTCAGGTGCAGATGTGTGTCTGTGTGTGTCAGGTGCAGATGTGTGTGTGTGTGTGTGTTCAGGTGCAGATGTGTGTCTGTGTGTGTCAGGTGCAGATGTGTGTCTGTGTGTGTCAGGTGCAGATGTGTGTCTGTGTGTGTGTCAGGTGCAGATGTGTGTCTGTGTGTGTGTCAGGTGCAGATGTGTGTCTGTGTGTGTCAGGTGCAGATGTGTGTCTGTGTGTGTCAGGTGCAGATGTGTGTCTGTGTGTGTGTCAGGTGCAGATGTGTGTCTGTGTGTGTCAGGTGCAGATGTGTGTCTGTGTGTGTCAGGTGCAGATGTGTGTCTGTGTGTGTGTCAGGTGCAGATGTGTGTCTGTGTGTGTGTCAGGTGCAGATGTGTGTTGTGGGGACCTGGCACACAGTGGAGCCTCTTCTGTGTCGGGAGAAATAAACTCCAGTCAAATGATTTTTTCCCAAATGTGGCGCGGATCATAAACAAACGAGGCCTGATCACGAACAGCTGAACTTTAAACAAAAGGATTAATGCTGTGAGTTTGTGGATTAATAAAACAATACGGGCCGAACATTCCGACGCTTCAGTTTTGACGTTTCCATCGGACGCACAAAGACGCTCCCATGTGTGTCAGATTTTTATGTAAACTATCACAACGTGGAAAAGTAAACGTGGAGAAGAAGAGTTTTAGGAAAAATCAGAGCCGAAAACTGAAAACAGATGAAGCCCGAACGCCGCGGAACCCAACCTGACCCGGGGCCCAGACGCACAGACCGAGAACAAACCACACAGAGAGAAGAGAGAGACTGAAGAGAGACTGAAGAGACTGAAGAGACTGAAGAGAGACTAGAGAGACTGAAGAGACTAAAGAGACTGAAGAGAGACAAGAGAGACTGAAGAGACTGAAGAGACTGAAGAGACTAAAGAGACTGAGAGAGACTAAGAGACTAAAGAGACTAAAGAGACTGAAGAGACTGAAGAGACTAAAGAGACTGAAGAGACTAAAGAGACTAAAGAGACTGAAGAGACTAAAGAGAGAGAAGAGACTAAAGAGACTAAAGAGACTAAAGAGACTGAAGAGACTGAAGAGACTGAAGAGACTAAAGAGACTGAAGAGACTAAGAGAGAGAGACTAAGAGAGAAGAGACTGAAGAGACTAAAGAGACTAAAGAGAGAGACTAAGAGACTAAAGAGACTGAAGAGACTGAAGAGACTAAAAGAGAGAGACTAAAGAGACTAAAGACTAAAGAGACTAAAGAGACTAAGAGACTGAAAGAGACTAAAGAGACTAAAGAGAGAAGAGACTAAGAGACTAAAGAGACTGAAGAGACTAAAGAGAGAAGAGACTAAGAGACTAAAGAGACTAAAGAGACTGAAGAGACTAAGAGACTAAAGAGACTAAAGAGACTAAAGAGAGAGACTAAAGAGACTGAAGAGACTAAAGAGACTGAAGAGACTGAGAAGAGACTGAAAGAGAAGAGACTAAAGAGAGACAAGAGACTGAAGAGACTGAAGAGAGAAGAGACTAAAGAGACTAAAGAGACTAAAGAGAGAAGAGACTAAAGAGACTAAAGAGACTAAAGAGAGAGACTAAAGAGACTAAAGAGACTGAAGAGACAGAAGAGACTGAAGAGACTGAAGAGACTGAAGAGAGACAAGAGAGACTGAAGAGACTGAAGAGAGAGAGAGAGACTAAAGAGACTAAGAGAGAGAGACTAAAGAGACTAAAGAGACTGAAGAGACTGAAGAGAGACTGAAGAGACTGAAGAGAGACTAAAGAGAGAGAGACTGAAGAGAGACTGAAGAGACTGAAGAGAGACTAAAGAGACTGAAGAGACTAAAGAGACTAAAGAGACTGAAGAGACTAAAGAGACTAAGAGAGACTAAAGAGACTGAAGAGACTAAAGAGAGAGAGACTAAGAGACTAGAGACTGAAGAGACTGAAGAGACTAAGAGAGAGACTGAAAGAGACTAAAGAGACTAAAGAGACTGAAGAGACTAAAGAGACTAAGAGACTAAAGAGACTAAAGAGACTGAAGAGACTGAAGAGACTAAGAAGAGACTGAAAGAGACTAAAGAGACTAAAGACTAAGAGAGACTAAAGAGACTGAAGAGACTAAAGAGACTAAAGAGAGAGACTAAGAGACTAAGAGACTGAAGAGACTGAAGAGACTAAAGAGACTAAAGAGACTAAAGAGACTAAGAGACTAAGAGAGACTGAAGAGACTAAAGAGAGAGACTAAGAGAGAGACTGAAGAGACTAAAGAGAGACTAAGAGACTAAAGAGACTAAAGAGACTGAAGAGACTAAGAGACTAAGAGACTAAGAGACTGAGACTGAGAGACTGAAGAGACTGAAGAGACTGAAAGAGAGAGACTGAAGAGAGAGACTAAAGAGAGACAAGAGAGACTGAAGAGAGACTGAAGAGACTAAAGAGACTAAAGAGACTAAAGAGAGAAAGACAAGACTAAAGAGACTGAGAGAGGACTAAAGAGACTAAAGAGACTGAGACAGAAGAGACTGAAGAGACTGAAGAGAGACAAGAGAGACTGAAGAGACTGAAGAGACTGAAGAGACTAAGAGACTAAGAGAGACTAAAGAGACTAAAGAGACTAAGAGAAAGAGACTGAAGAGACTAAAGAGACTGAAGAGACTAAAGAGAGACTGAGAGAGAAGAGACTGAAGAGACTGAAGAGACTGAAGAGACTGAAGAGACTAAAGACTAAAGAGACTAAAGAGAGAAGAGACTAAGAGACTAAAGAGACTGAAGAGACTGAAGAGACTAAAGAGACTAAAGAGACTAAAGAGACTGAGAGACTGAAGAGACTAAGAGACTAAGAAGAGAGAGAAGACTGAAGAGAGAGACTAAGAGAGACTAAAGAGACTAAAGAGACTAAAGAGACTGAAGAGACTGAAGAGAGACAAAGAGACTAAAGAGACTAAAGAGACTAAAGAGACTGAAGAGACTGAAGAGACTAAAGAGACTGAAGACTGAAGAGAGACTGAAGAGACTGAGAGAGCAGGAGCAGGGAGCAGAGACTGAAGCGTGGAGACGAGGTGAAGCTTCACTCTCTCCAGGAGGACGAGGAACAGAGGAACATCTCGAGGAGTGTGAAGGATGATTATTGTTCATATGTGACAGTTACAGGTCAGAGATGATGGAAGCTGCAGCAGATCCTCCAGATCCTCCACGAACAAACAGAACAAATGTGAACTGGACGTGTTTATGTTGTTCTGGTTAAAGGTCAAAGAGACAGTTAAAGCTCCTCGACTTAACCTGACAAGAAACATTAGAGTCATTAAATGACTGAACGTGTTTCATGAAGAACTGCGCTTCACTTCAGACGATGTGAAACCAGAACCGACACAGACGACAAACTCAGACTGATGAAAGTAAAAACAAACCAAGGAAGAAGCTGTAAAATTCAATTTGTCAAATGGACAAATGTTTATTTAGGACAAAAACATTTCTCAGCTCATCCAGGCTGTTTCTTCAGTTCTGTTCAGACGCTGCTGAGGAGCTAACTACACTGAAACTAACACGAAACAAACCTAAATAAACATTTGCCCAGTTGACAAATTGAATTTCTCCTTTGCCACAGATTCTACCTGAACGACTGAGGGATTCTACACACTGTAAAAAACAGATCAGTGTCTGTTTGGGACGATCTACCAGCAGATATATTTACTGTAAATACTAAACATCGATTTAAAGTTCAACTGAAAAGACATTTTATTGCACAAAGCAAATGAATCTCAAGTGTGGTGTTCACCTGGTGGTTACAGAGGAGAGTTCAGTAGTAGTAGTAGCTCCTCCAGGAGGACGGGAGGCTAAATGTTTATATATGTATATAAATATGAGTTTACATGTTACGTGTTTATATGTTTATTTTGTGATTCCAAATGAGGTTAAAAGTGCTGGTCAGAGTCGACCAAAGTGCCGTGTTTGTCCTGAGAGCTGCACAGTGTCCAGATCTGTGTTTAATGAAGATGAAATGGACTGTAAATATAAATATAAATGTGAACTTGAATCATGAACCTGAAGTCAAATGTGATTATCTTTAAGGTAATGTGATTTTTTTGTAATGAGATCTCGATTTAAGAAACGTATATGTATATGTATGTGTCTGGGCGTCTCCCTTAGAGACAGAGTGAGGAGCTCAGTCACACGGGAGGAGCTCGGAGTAGAGCCGCTGCTCCTCCACGTGGAGAGGAGCCAGATGAGGCTCGGACGTCTGTTCTGATGTCTCCTGGACGTCTCCCTCAGGAGGTGTTCATGTCCCACCGGGAGGAGGCCCCGGGGAAGACCCAGGACACACTGGAGGGACTGTGTCTCTGGACTGGCCTGGGAACACCTCGAGGTTCCCCTGGAGGAGCTGGAGGAAGTGTCTGGGGTGAAGGAAGTCTGGGAGTCTGTGTTTAGACTGATGCCCCCGAGACCCGACCTCGGATAAGCAGAAGAATATGGCTGGATGGATGGAAGTGTTCGCACTGACGCAATGGAAACTGAAAGTGTGTTTGGCCTGAGGAGGACGAGCTGCTGGATCTGCCTTCAGCCAACGAGATCCACACAAACAAACAAATAAACCAAAATATGATGCAAGCGCCGAGTCTGAGATGACATCACCACATTCTGCAGAACATCTCGTCTCGTCTCGTCTCGTCTCACACAGACGATTCAGACGCAGATTTGTTTAGTAAAAGTGTGAGTTCTTGGATTCTTCTGCCAACACCAACCCACAGACTCATTGTTTTTACATTTACATTTAGATTAAGTTCTTTACAATACACATAGTTTTATTTACACTTATATTTTCTCATTTGGGGCACACATTTTCGTTCATATAAGTCTGATTTATTTACTTGTTCTTTTATTTTTTTGTGACCAGATGAGGGACGGACACGACTCGACTCTCGGCTTCTTTAATGTCACTTTATTATTTTCTATATTTGAATTATTTTCCTTCTTGTTACTTTGATCATTTTAGATAAATATTTCGTGTCATTCCTCGCTCTTGTGTTCAGTTTTAGTTTGTACTGAAGCTCTGTTCTTTGTCTGGTGGAGTTAGTTTTGTTCTTTTTCCGTTTGGTTTAATCAACTTGAGCTTTTGCTGCGTTACATTTTAGTTTTTTTTTTGTCTTTATTAAATTTAAACTTATCTTCAAGTCTTTGTGTTTGTCTTTCTGTTTGTTCGCAGTCAGAGAAACGTTCGGGCCCGTCAGACTTTGAAATACGACACATATTTATACGGAGAAATACTGCGATAACAAAGTAAAAGTGAAACAGCTTCATGCCTCGGAGAATCTCAGTAAACATATTTTTAAATTTACTACACTGAGCTGCGACAAATAAACAGCAGAAGGAACCAATAACGAGCCGGAGCAGATTTTTACTCTCCAGATATTCCACAAAAACAACTCAAATCTCTCCACATCTGCACAGAAATATCATCATGTACGACAAAATACCAAACAGAATATTTAGAGTTTTCACGACAGTTTCCCAGGGTCAATATTTGGGAATAAAATAAAATTGAATCAGTGTGATTTTCCCCAAAACTAGAGCACGACATCATTTTTATCAGTTTTTGTAACTGTAGTAGTAGTAATAGTAATAATAACTGCAGTAGTATCAGTAGTAGTAGTAGTAGTACTAGAAGTAGTAGTAATAGTATCAACAGCAGTAGTAGTAGTATCAGTAGTAGTAGTATCAGTAGTACTAGTAGTAGTAGTAGTAGTAGTAGTAGTAGTGGTAGTAGTAGTAGTAATAGCAGTAGTAGTAGTAGTAATAGTAGTAGTAGTCGTAGCATCAGCAGCAGTACTAGTAGTACTAGTAGTACTATCAGTAGTGGTAGTAGTAGCAGTAGTACTAGTAGTAGTAGCAGTAGTAGTAGTAGTAGTAGTAGTACTATCAGTAGTAGTAGAAGTAGTAGTAGTAGTAGTGGTATTAGTAGTACTATCAGTAGTAGTAGCAGTAGTAGTGGTAGTAGTGGTAGTGTCAGTAGTAGTAGTAGTAGTAGTAGTAGTAATAGTAGTAGTAGTCGTAGCATCAGCAGCAGTACTAGTAGTACTAGTAGTACTAGTAGTAGTATCAGTAGTAGTAGCAGTAGTAGTAGTAACAGTAGTAGTAGTAGTGGTAGCATCAGCAGCAGTACTAGTAGTACTAGTAGTAGTAGTAGTAGTAGCAGTAGTAGTAGTAGTAGTAGTAGTAGTAGTAATAGCAGTAGTAGTAGTAGTAATAGTAGTAGTAGTCGTAGCATCAGCAGCAGTACTAGTAGTACTAGTAGTACTAGTAGTACTAGTAGTAGTAGTAGTAGTATTTGTAGTGCAGTACTCACTGGTCCGTCCGTTCTTGGACATGGGTCTTCCTTCCATCTCGTGGTACACAGGTACTACAGTCACTGTGTACTCTGTGTCGGGCTCCAGGCTCTTCAGGACGGTGCTGGTGGTGGAGCCGCTCACCTGGTCCTGGACAGAGGCGGACAGGACGTTTTACCATAGACATACATGTAGAACACCCCCCGCGTGGTTCAGTGTGTTCATGAAACGTGTACTTCAGGGGAGGGCATCTGACTCACCACTTCCTGTTCTCCTCCGGCCGCCGGGACCCAGATGATGATGTTTTCACGAACGTTTCCCTCGGCCGCGTCCCAGCGAACGTTTAACGACGACGTGGTCGGATCTGTGACCTGAAGGTTACGAACGAATCCCAGAGGACCTGAAACAAGACCAGGACTCAACCAGGACTCAACCAGGACTCAACCAGGACTGGACCAGGACTCAACCAGGACTCAACCAGGACTGGACCAGGACTGGACCAGGACTCAACCAGGACTCAACCAGGACTGGACCAGGACTGGACCAGGACTCAACCAGGACTCAACCAGGACTCAACCAGGACTCAACCAGGACTCAACCAGGACTGGACCAGGACTGGACCAGGACTCAACCAGGACTCAACCAGGACTCAACCAGGACTCAACCAGGACTCAACCAGGACTGGACCAGGACTGGACCAGGACTGGACCAGGACTCAACCAGGACTCAACCAGGACTCAACCAGGACTCAACCAGGACTCAACCAGGACTCAACCAGGACTCAACCAGGACCAGGACTCAACCAGGACTCACCAGGACTCAACCAGGACTCAACCAGGACTGGACCAGGACTCAACCAGGACTGGACCAGGACTCAACCAGGACTGGACCAGGACTCAACCAGGACTCAACCAGGACTGGACCAGGACTCAACCAGGACTCAACCAGGACTGGACCAGGACTCAACCAGGACTGGACCAGGACTACACCAGGACTCAACCAGGACTCAACCAGGACTGAACCAGGACTCAACCAGGACTCAACCAGGACTGGACCAGGACTCAACCAGGACTCAACCAGGACTCAACCAGGACTCAGGACCAGGACTCAACCAGGACTGGACCAGGACTGGACCAGGACTGGACCAGGACTCAACCAGGACTGGACCAGGACTGGACCAGGACTACACCAGGACTCAACCAGGACTCAACCAGGACTCGACCAGGACTGGACCAGGACTCAACCAGGACTCAACCAGGACTCAACCAGGACTCAACCAGGACTGGACCAGGACTACACCAGGACTCAACCAGGACTCAACCAGGACTCGACCAGGACTCAACCACCAGGACTCACCAGGACTGGACAGGACTCAACCAGGACTGACCAGGACTCAACCAGGACTCAACCAGGACTCAGGACTCAACCAGGACTCAACCAGGACTCAACCAGGACTCACCAGGACTCAACCAGGACTGGACTCAACCAGGACTCAACCAGGACTCAAACCAGGACTCAACCAGGACTGGACCAGGACTCAACCAGGACTGGACCAGGACTCAACCAGGACTCAACCAGGACTGGACCAGGACTCAACCAGGACTCAACCAGGACTCAACCAGGACTCAACCAGGACTGGACCAGGACTGGACCAGGACTCAACCAGGACTCAACCAGGACTGGACCAGGACTACACCAGGACTCAACCAGGACTCAACCAGGACTGGACCAGGACTGGACCAGGACTCACCCAGGACTCAACCAGGACTGGACCAGGACTCAACCAGGACTCAACCAGGACTGGACCAGGACTCAACCAGGACTCAACCAGGACTCAACCAGGACTGGACCAGGACTCAACCAGGACTCAACCAGGACTGGACCAGGACTCAACCAGGACTCAACCAGGACTGGACCAGGACTGGACCAGGACTGAACCAGGACTGAACCAGGACTGGACCAGGACTCAACCAGGACTGAACCAGGACTGGACCAGGACTGGACCAGGACTCAACCAGGACTGGACCAGGACTGGACCAGGACTCAACCAGGACTGGACCAGGACTCAACCAGGACTCAACCAGGACTGGACCAGGACTCAACCAGGACTCAACCAGGACTCAGGACTCAACCAGGACTCAACCAGGACTGGACCAGGACTCAACCAGGACTCAACCAGGACTCAGGACTCAACCAGGACTCAACCAGGACTGGACCAGGACTCAACCAGGACTCAACCAGGACTCAACCAGGACTCAACCAGGACTGGACCAGGACTGGACCAGGACTCAACCAGGACTGGACTCAACCAGGACTGGACCAGGGACTCCAGGACTGAACAGGACTGGACCAGGACTGAACCAGGACTCAACCAGGACTCAACCAGGACTCAACCAGGACTCAACCAGGACTCAACCAGGACTGGACCAGGACTCAACCAGGACTGGACCAGGACTCAACCAGGACTCAACCAGGACTCAACCAGGACTGGACCAGGACTCAACCAGGACTGGACCAGGACTCAACCAGGACTCAACCAGGACTCACCAGGACTCAACCAGGACTGGACCAGGACTCAACCAGGACTCAACCAGGACTCAACCAGGACTGGACCAGGACTGGACCAGGACTCGACCAGGACTCAACCAGGACTCAACCAGGACTCAACCAGGACTCGACCAGGACTCAACCAGGACTGGACCAGGATTGGACCAGGACTCAACCAGGACTCAACCAGGACTCGACCAGGACTCAACCAGGACTCAACCAGGACTCAACCAGGACTGAACCAGGAGTAAACTGGGACTAAACCAGGTCTAAACCAAGACTAAACTAGGACAAATTTAGGACTGAACCAGGACTAAACCAGGTCTAAACCAGGTCTGTGTTACACTCACGTGTTTTCCCGGTGTCCCTGAGGCTCGGTCCGTCTCCTTCGGCGTAAACCGGGACCACAGTGACTCTGTACTCGGTGTCGGGCAGGAGTTTCTCCAGGATCGTCTGTGTGGTGCTTTCAGAAACCTGCTCCTGAAGACCACAAGAGAAAACACGTCACACAGCGGCAGCGACGTCACATGTGTGTGCAGAGGCTCAGCGTGGAGGGATTGACCTGAGCTTCACTGCTTCACTCACAACCAGTTCAGACACAATGTTCATCTGACAAGAAGAACATTTGTGAACATTTGTGAGCGTTTTCTTCCAGTTCCTGCCTACTTCAGAGCAGAATAGTGACATTTGTTGCTTGTTGATGATGTGTAGGTGGATGAATGTCACATGTCAAAAGATCAGATACAGGAACATAGGGGCAAAAAATCTTATTTGGGAACTTCAGGTGCAGACTGAACGTGGATGTTTTTTTGACGCTCTTGTCTGAACGCACCATTAAAACGACGAGGATAAAAACTCAGTTTGTCGACTGGACAAAAGTTAGTTTGGTTGAAGACATTTCGCAGCTCATCCAAGCTGCTTCTTCAGTTCTGAAGAAGCAGCTTGAACTGAGGAAGCAGCTTGGATGATCTGCGAAACGTCTTCAACCAAACTTACTTTTGTCCAGTCGACAAACTGAATTTTTCTCCTCGCCGTAGATTCTACCTGGACGACTGAGGGATTCTTCACGCGCCATTAAAATGCACAAATCCAAAAATGATAAAACACTGAATAAAATAAAATTTTAAAATAAATAAATAAAACTGAATAAAAAAAAACACAGAGGAGCACGCGACTCACGCAGTGTTAAAGCCACAAAATAAAATTGGGTCTTAAGGCGAGACTTAAAACTTTCCACTGTGGAGGCTGTCGGGACGTGGGAGGGACAGAATTCCAAAGTCTTCCAGAGCGTTCCAGCGCGTACCAGAGCATTCCAGAGACATCCAGAGCGTTCCAAAGCATTCCGGAGACATCCAGAGCATTCCAGAGCGTTTCAGTGCATTCCAGAGCGTTTCAGTGCATTCCAGAGTTTGGGGTCGGTCACAGAGAACGTCCTGTCCTCCTGGTTTAAGTTTAAGTCTCGTCTTAGGCCCCACGAGCCGGAGCTGGACCTCGGACCTCAGAGCGTACGAGGGGTGTAAATGTGGATGAGGTCCGAGACGTAACGTGGGGCCAGAACATTCAAAGCTTTAAAAACAAACTATAAAATCTTAAAATCAACTCTAAATCGAACTGGGATCCGGTGCAACGACGCAAGGATTGGCGTGATATGTTCTCGTTTTTTGGTTCTGGACTCTCTGCAGACGGGAAAGTGCATTTTGAGAGTAGTAGACTTCCTCGCTGAGAGAAAGTCGAAGGGTTTGCAGCTGTCCACAAAGCAGCGCGTGCAGACTTTGAGCTATTGAGGTGTGTTTTCTTTTTATCTTTGTTCCTAATTCCAGGTGCTGCTTCATATTTTCTTCTGTGTGTCTGAAACGTGGACAGGAGTAAATCTGGGGTTTAACGTTTTAGCACCGGCCCCGATGTTTACACCTGAGTCCATTCAGCTGGAACACTCCGGAACTCAAGTGTGAAATATCCCAGAGACGCCACGGGCAGGTGCTGAGTGTTGAAGACAGGTGCGGACAAAGACGGCGCGGGCAAAGACGAAGGTGTTTGTTCAGCGTTAAGTGGTTTACGGACAAATGTGATGACACGTTTTCATCGTCCGGAACAACGTGACGATTTATTTCACTCAAAACTGTTCAGACGAAACACAAGAGACGGAAAAGAAACAGGAGACAGAGGAAACAGAGGAGACAGAGGAGACAGAGGAGACAAAGAGACAGAGAAGACAGAGGAGACAGAGGAGACAGAGGAGACAGGAGACAGAGGAGACAGAGGAGACAGAGGAGACAGAGAGACAGAGAGACAGAGGAACAGACAGAGAGGAGACAGAGGAGACAGAGGAGACAGAGGAGGAGACAGAGGAGACAGAGGAGACAGAGGAGACAGAGGAGACAGAGGAGACAGAGGAGACAGAGGAGACAGAGGAGACAGAGGAGGAGACAGAGGAGACAGAGGAGACAGAGGAGACAGAGGAGACAGAGGAGACAGAGGAGACAGAGGAGACAGAGGAGACAGAGGAGACAGAGGAGACAGAGGAGACAGAGGTGTGAGGAGAAAAGCTCTGATGTTTTGATAATCCTGGTGTTTGTTCAGTGAAGTGGTTCTGTCGACAGGTTTAAAACAGAAACACAGCGCTTAGTTTAAACACGCAGACAGGTGAAGGGTCCCTGTGGCAGGTGCAGTGCGGGCAGGTGCAGTGCGGGCAGGTGCAGTGCGGGCAGGTGCAGTGCGGGCAGGTGCAGGCGCAGCGTCTCGTGTCTCACCACTATCTCCAGTCCTCCGGCGGCGGGGACGTAGATGACCTTGTAGCCCTGGACGTTTCCGTCGGCGGGGCTCCAGTTCACTCTGAGCGTGGTGATGGTCGGGTTGGACACCTTCATGTTGTCCACTCCCCCCAGAGGCACTGAGGACACAAGGACACGAGGACACAAGGACACAAGGTCACACACAAGGACACGAGGACACAAGGACACAAGGACACAAGGACACGAGGTCACAACACGAGGACACAAGGACACGAGGTCACAACACGAGGACACAAGGACACGAGGACACAAGACACAAGGTCACAACACAAGGACACAAGGACACAAGGACACGAGGTCACGAGGTCACAACACAAGGACACGAGGTCACAACACACAACACACGAGGTCACAACACACGGACACGAGGTCACATCACATGAAAACAACATGGAAACATTGTGCCCATGAGCCTGACACTGTCCCGTTGCCTGAGTGCGACTGTGCTGTGTTTAAGTTTGGTCGTGTTTACATGTTTTTAAAGTCTGAATGAATTGTTCTGAATTAAAATATTCTCCTTGGAGTTTACATCCATCCATCCATGTTCTTCCTCTTCTCTGGGGTCGGGTCTCGGGGGCATCAGTTTGAACAGGGACTCCCAGACTTCCCTCACCCCAGACACTTCCTCCAGCTCCTCCTGTTGGACCCTGAGGTGTTCCCAGGCCAGTCCAGAGACACAGTCCCTCCAGTGTGTCCTGGGTCTTCCCTCCCTCCTCCTGGTGGGACATGAACACCTCCTGAGGGAGACGTTCCTCCCCTCAGACGCTCCTCTCCACGTGGAGGAGCAGCGGCTCTACTCCGAGCTCCTCACTCTGTCTCTGAGGAAGCACCCAGACGCCCTGAGGAGGAAACTCATCTGTGTCGCTTGTATCGATGATCTGGTCCTTTGGGTCATGACCCAGAGCCAGTGTCAGGAGTAACAGATTACATGTACCAGAGTTATGTAATCAGAGTACATGAGTAACTGTATTCAGTTACAGTTACTGTTTCAGTGAGTGGTAATTGGATTACAGTTACTTTGTTGAAATAAATGGATTACACAGAGGGATTTAACTGTTTTCACATTTTGGGTGATATCCCCCTTTTTTTTTTTTTTTTGGTAATTCCATTCATTGCCGCAAACTAAACCAGGTCTAAACTAGATCTAAACCAGGACTAAACCAGGTCTAAAACCAGGTCTAAAAGCAGGTCTAAAAGCAGGTCTAAAACCAGGACTAAACCAGGACTAAAACCAGGTCTAAACTAGATCTAATCTAAATCTAAACTAGATCTAAACCAGGTCTAAACCAGGATTTAACAGGACTAAATCCTGCTGTGTGGTCGTGTCTCCTCGTTTTCTATCAATAATATTTTTAATTTGGTTCAGTAAAGTCTGGATCGCAGATACAAGAGCTCTAAATGAGTTTCCTCCGCAGGGCGTCTGGGCGTCTCCCTTAGAGACAGAGTGAGGAGCTCAGTCACACGGGAGGAGCTCGGAGTAGAGCTGCTGCTCCTCCACGTGGAGAGGAGCAGTTGAGGCTCGGGCATCTGTTCTGATGTCTCCTGGGCGTCTCCCTCAGGAGGTGTTCATGTCCCACCAGGAGGAGACCCGGGGGAAGACCAGGACACACTGGAGGGACTCTGTCTCTGGACTGGCCTGGGAACGACTCGAGGTCCTACAGGAGGAGCTGGAGGAAGTGTCTGGGATGAAGGAAGTCTGGGAGTCCCTGCTCAGACTGCTGCCCCCGAGACCCGACCCCAGATAAGTGGAAGAAAATGGATGGATGGTTCAGTAAAGTCTGGGCTTTTTATTTTCTTTTATCAGACAAAACTTCTTATGTGAAGATTTCCTCGTCTTTGTTTCTCTACAGCAAATCAAGTAATCCAAAGTAATCAGATTACATTACTCACTTTACGTAATTTAATGGATTCTGTTACAAACTACATTTTGGGGTGTGTAATCTATAATCTGTAGGGGATTACATTTTAAAAGTAAACTTTCCAACACTGCCCAGAGCTCATGAGCAGAGGTGAGGGGAGGAACGGACGTTTACATGGAAATAATAATTCTGAATTGTTAAAATGGAAAATCACCTTTATTTAATTTTGTTCAGTGTCAGGGGCTGTGGAAGGCATTATTTCTATTTATTATTTTATTTATTAAGGGCATTATTTCTATTTATTATTTTATTTATTAAGCGCATTATTTCTATTTATTATTTTATTTATTAAGCGCATTATTTCTATTTATTATTTTATTTATTAAGGGCATTATTTCTATTTATTATTTTATTTATTAAGCGCATTATTTCTATTTATTATTTTATTTATTAAGGGCATTATTTCTATTTATTATTTTATTTATTAAGCGCATTATTTCTATTTATTATTTTATTTATTAAGCGCATTATTTCTATTTATTTTATTTATTAAGGGCATTATTTCTATTTATTATTTATTATTTATTAAGGGCATTATTTCTATTTATTATTTTATTTATTAAGCGCATTATTTCTATTTATTATTTTATTTATTAAGCGCATTATTTCTATTTATTATTTTATTTATTAAGAGCATCATTTCTATTTATTATTTTATTTATTAAGCGCATTATTTCTATTTATTATTTTATTTATTAAGCGCATTATTTCTATTTATTATTTTATTTATTAAGTGCATAATTTCTATTTATTATTTTATTTATTAAGCGCATAATTTCTATTTATTATTTTATTTATTAAGCGCATTATTTCTATTTATTATTTTATTTATTAAGCGCATTATTTCTATTTATTATTTTATTTATTAAGGGCATTATTTCTATTTATTATTTTATTTATTAAGGGCATTATTTCTATTTATTATTAAGCGCATTATTTCTATTTATTTTTTATTATTAGGGCATTATTTCTATTTATTATTTTATTTATTAAGCGCATTAATTTCTATTTATTATTTTATTTATTAAGCGCATTATTTCTATTTATTATTTTATTTATTAAGCGCATTATTTCTATTTATTATTTTATTTATTAAGCGCATTATTTCTATTTATTATTTTATTTATTAAGGGCATTATTTCTTTTATTTTTATTTATTAAGGGCATTATTTCTATTTATTATTTATTTTATTAAGCGCATTATTTCTATTTATTATTTTATTTATTAAGCGCATTATTTCTATTTATTATTTTATTATTAAGCGCATTATTTCTATTTATATTTTATTTATTAAGCGCATTATTTCTATTTATTATTTTATTTATTAAGGGCATTATTTCTATTTATTTATTTATTTATTAAGCGCATTATTTCTATTTATTATTTTATTTATTAAGGGCATTATTTCTATTTATTATTTTATTTATTAAGCGCATTATTTCTATTTATTATTTTATTTATTAAGCGCATTATTTCTATTTATTATTATTTATTAAGCGGCATTATTTCTATTTATTATTTATTTATTAAGGCATTATTTCTATTTATTATTTTATTTATTAAGGGCGTTATTTCTATTTATTATTTTATTTATTAAGCGCATTATTTCCACGTAAACTCAAAGAAGATTATTTTAATCCAGAACTATTTAATTCAGAACAATTCATTTGGCAGTAAAAACCGTCCTGTGAACACGTCGGCGTGACTCTGCTGTGGTTCAGTCGAGTCACGTTCAGGGCAGATTTGTTCCTGAATAATAATGAGACACAAACACGTAAACCAACTGTTCTGTCTGGTCATAAAGTCCAGCGTGAGCAGCTCCAGGTCCTGCTCCTCTGGTCAGCGACTGCTCTGACCTTCTTGCGCGTCGTGCGGCGGCGTTACTCACGAGTGCGTCCCTCCTCGCTCTGCCTCCGTCCCTCTCGCGCCGGATACACGGGGAGCACAGACACCGTGTACAGAGTGTCCGGCTGCAGGTTCCTCAGGACCGTGGACGTGGACGAGGCCGGAACCTGCTCCTGAAGGAACCAGACGGAGGAGAGGGTCAGAGGAGCAGAGAGCAGAGAGAAGGTCAGAGGAGCAGAGGAGAAGGTCAGAGGGTCAGAGGAGCAGAGGAGAAGGTCAGAGGGTCAGAGGAGCAGAGGAGCAGAAGAGAAGGTCAGACGGTCAGAGGGTCAGAGGGTCAGAGGAGCAGAGGAGAAGAGGAGAGAGTCAGAGGAGCAGAGGAGAGAGTCAGAGGAGCAGAGGAGCAAAGGAGAAGGTCAGAGGAGCAGAGGAGAAGGTCAGAGGGTCAGAGGAGCAGAGGAGAAGGTCAGAGGAGCAGAGGAGAAGGTCAGAGGAGAGAGAAGGTCAGAGGAGCAGAGGAGAAGGTCAGAGGGTCAGAGGACGCAGAGAAGGTCAGAGGGTCAGAGGACGCAGAGAAGGTCAGAGGTCAGAGGAGCAGAGGAGAAGGTCAGAGGAGAGGAGCAGAGGAGAAGGTCAGAGGGTCAGAGGGTCAGAGGAGAGGAGAAGGTCAGAGGGTCAGAGGACGCAGAGGAGAAGGTCAGAGGAGAAGGTCAGAGGAGCAGAGGAGAAGGTCAGAGGGTCAGAGGAGCAGAGGAGAAGGTCAGAGGAGTCAGAGGACTCAGAGAAGGTCAGAGGGTCAGAGGAGCAGAGGAGAAGGTCAGAGGGTCAGAGGACGCAGAGGAGAAGGTCAGAGGAGAAGGTCAGAGGAGCAGAGGAGAAGGTCAGAGGAGAGGTCAGAGGAGCAGAGGAGGAGGTCAGAGGGTCAGAGGACGCAGAGGAGAAGGTCAGAGGGTCAGAGGACGCAGAAGAGAAGGTCAGAGGAGAAGGTCAGAGGAGCAGAAGAGAAGGTCAGAGGGTCAGAGGAGCAGAAGAGAAGGTCAGAGGAGCAGAAGAGAAGGTCAGAGGAGAAGGTCAGAGGAGGAGGTCAGAGGGTCAGAGGACGCAGAGAAGGTCAGAGAAGGTCAGAGGAGCAGAGAGAAGGTCAGAGGAGGAGGTCAGAGGGTCAGAGGAGCAGAGGAGGAGGTCAGAGGGTCAGAGGAGAAGGTCAGAGGGTCAGAGGAGCAGAGGAGGAGGTCAGAGGGTCAGAGGAGCAGAGGAGGAGGTCAGAGGGTCAGAGGGTCAGAGGAACATATATTCATGTCTGTACCATCTCTTCCATCCCTCCGGCCGTTGGGACGTAGAAGATCTTGTAGAGCCTCACGGCTCCGTCTGCAGGCTCCCAGTCCACGTTCAGAGACGTCATGGTGGGGTTGGTCACACGCAGGTTCTTCACTCCCCCCAGAGGCCCTGGCACACAAACACCCGGACTCAACACACACTTAAAGACTGGCTTTATTTTACACATGTGTTTGGAGTACTTCTTGTGTGTATTTAGAGTACTTCTTGTGTGTATTTGGAGTACTTCTTGTGTGTATTTGGAGTATTTCTTGTGTGTATTTGGAGTACTTCTTGTGTGTATTTGTAGTATTTCTTGTGTGTACTTCATGTGTGTATTTGTAGTACTTCTTGTGTGTATTTGTAGTACTTCTTGTGTGTATTTGTAGTATTTCTTGTGTGTACTTCATGTGTGTATTTGTAGTACTTCTTGTGTGTATTTGTAGTACTTCTTGTGTGTATTTGTAGTACTTCTTGTGTGTATTTGTAGTACTTCTTGTGTGTATTTGTAGTATTTCTCACGTGTATTTGTAGTACTTCTTGTGTGTATTTGTAGTATTTCTTGTGTATACTCCGTGCGTGTATCTGTAGTTTTTCTCACGTGTATTTGTAGTACTTCTTGTGTGTATTTGTAGTATTTCTCGTGTATAATCCGTGCGTGTATTTGTAGTATTTCTCACGTGTTTTTATAGTACTTCTTGTGTGTATTTGTAGTATTTCTCACGTGTATTTGTAGTACTTCTTGTGTGTTTTTGTAGTACTTCTTGTGTGTATTTGTAGTATGTCTCACGTGTTTTTGTAGTACTTCTTGTGTGTATTTGCAGTACTTCTTGTGTGTATTTGTAGTATTTCTCAGGTGTATTTGTAGTATTTCTTGTGTGTATTTGTAGTACTTCTTGTGTGTATTTGTAGTATTTCTCACGTGTATTTGCAGTATTTCTTGTGTGTATTTGTAGTATTTCTCACGTGTATTTGTAGTATTTCTCGCGTGTATTTGCAGTACTTATTGTGTGTATTTGTAGTATTTCTCACGTGTTTTTGCAGTACTTCTTGTGTGTATTTGTAGTATTTCTCACGTGTATTTGTAGTATTTCTCAGGTGTATTTGTAGTATTTCTTGTGTGTATTTGCAGTACTTCTTGTGTGTATTTGTAGTATTTCTCACGTGTTTTTGCAGTACTTCTTGTGTGTATTTGTAGTATTTCTCAGGTGTATTTGTAGTATTTCTCACGTGTTTTTCCGTTCTCGGAGAGCAGGCGTCCTTCTCCCTCGGCGTAGATGGGCAGCAGAGACACGGTGTACAGAGTGTCCGGGGTCAGAGACCTCAGGACGGTGGAGGTGGTGCCTGCACTCACCTGCTCCTGAAACAACAACAAACAACAACAAACAACAATAACAACAACAAACAAACAAACAACAATAAACAACAACAAACAACAACAAACAACAAACAAACAACAAACAAACAACACTGTGAGTCCTGCCGACAGAAGACAGAGAAGAGAGAGAAGGAAGAACAGCCTTGTGTGTTTAGTGTGCAGTGTGTAGTGTGTAGTGTGTGTAGTGTGTAGTGTTTAGTGTGTAGTGTGTAGTGTGTAGTGTGTTGTAGTGTGTGTGTAGTGTGTAGTGTGTTGTAGTGTGTAGTGTGTAGTGTGGAGTGTGTAGTGTGTAGTGTTTAGTGTGTAGTGTTAGTGTGTAGTGTGTAGTGTGTAGTGTGTAGTGTGTAGTGTGTAGTGTTTAGTGTTTAGTGTAGTGTGTAGTGTAGTGTGTAGTGTGTAGTGTGTAGTGTGTAGTGTGTAGTGTTTAGTGTGTAGTGTGTAGTGTTTAGTGTTTAGTGTGTAGTGTTTAGTGTGTAGTGTGTAGTGTTTAGTGTGTAGTGTGTGTGTAGTGTTTAGTGTGTAGTGTGTAGTGTTTAGTGTGTAGTGTGTAGTGTGTAGTGTGTAGTGTGTAGTGTAGTGTGTAGTGTGTAGTGTGTAGTGTGTGTGTAGTGTGTAGTGTGTGTGTAGTGTGTAGTAGTGTTTAGTGTGTAGTGTGTAGTGTGTAGTGTGTAGTGTGTAGTGTTTAGTGTGTTAGTGTGTAGTGTTTAGTGTGTAGTGTGTAGTGTGTAGTGTGTAGTGTGTAGTGTGTAGTGTGTAGTGTGTAGTGTGTAGTGTGTAGTGTGTGTTTAGTGTGTAGTGTAGTGTGTAGTGTGTAGTGTGTAGTGTTTAGTGTGTAGTGTGTGTGTAGTGTGTGTGTAGTGTGTTAGTGTGTAGTGTGTAGTAGTGTTTAGTGTGTGTAGTGTGTTAGTGTGTGTGTAGTGTGTAGTGTGTAGTAGTGTGTAGTGTTTAGTGTTTAGTGTGTAGTGTGTAGTGTGTAGTGTGTAGTGTGTAGTGTGTAGTGTGTAGTGTGTAGTGTGTAGTGTGTTAGTGTGTAGTGTAGTGTGTAGTGTGTAGTAGTGTGTAGTGTGTAGTGTGTAGTGTGTAGTGTGTAGTGTGTAGTGTTAGTGTTTAGTAGTGTGTAGTGTGTTAGTGTGTAGTGTTAGTAGTGTGTAGTGTGTGTGTAGTGTGTGTGTAGTGTGTAGTGTGTAGTGTGTGTGTGTGTGTAGTGTGTTAGTGTGTAGTGTGTGTGTAGTGTGTAGTGTGTAGTGTGTAGTGTGTAGTGTGTAGTGTGTTAGTGTGTAGTGTGTAGTGTGTAGTGTTTAGTGTGTAGTGTGTAGTGTGTAGTGTGTAGTGTGTAGTGTGTAGTGTGTAGTGTTTAGTGTGTAGTGTGTAGTGTGTAGTGTAGTGTGTAGTGTGTGTGTAGTGTTAGTGTGTAGTGTGTAGTGTGTGTGTGTAGTGTGTGTGTGTAGTGTGTAGTGTGTAGTGTGTAGTGTGTAGTGTGTAGTGTGTAGTGTTTAGTGTGTAGTGTGTAGTGTGTAGTGTTTAGTGTGTAGTGTGTAGTGTTTAGTGTGTAGTGTGTAGTGTTTAGTGTGTAGTGTGTAGTGTGTAGTGTGTAGTGTGTAGTGTTGTAGTGTTAGTGTGTAGTGTGTAGTGTGTAGTGTGTAGTGTGTAGTGTGTAGTGTTTGTAGTGTGTGTAGTGTGTAGTGTGTTAGTGTGTAGTTGTAGTGTTTGTAGTGTGTAGTGTAGTGTTTAGTGTGTTAGTGTGTGTGTGTGTAGTGCGTAGTGTTTAGTGTTTAGTGTGTAGTGTGTAGTGTGTAGTGTTTAGTGTGTAGTGTTTAGTGTGTTAGTGTGTAGTGTTTAGTGTGTGTGTAGTGTGTAGTGTTTAGTGTGTAGTGTGTAGTGTGTAGTGTGTGTGTAGTGTGTAGTGTTTAGTGTGTAGTGTGTAGTGTTTAGTGTGTAGTGTGTAGTGTTTAGTGTGTAGTGTTTAGTGTTTAGTGTGTAGTGTTTAGTGTGTAGTGTGTAGTGTGTAGTGTGTAGTGTGTAGTGTGTAGTGTGTAGTGTGTAGTGTTTAGTGTGTAGTGTGTAGTGTTTAGTGTGTAGTGTTTAGTGTGTAGTGTGTGTGTAGTGTGTTAGTGTGTAGTGTGTAGTGTGTAGTGTGTAGTGTGTAGTGTGTAGTGTGTAGTGTGTAGTGTTTAGTGTGTAGTGTGTAGTGTGTAGTGTGTAGTGTTTAGTGTGTAGTGTGTAGTGTGTAGTGTGTGTGTAGTGTGTGTGTTAGTGTGTAGTGTGTGTGTAGTGTGTAGTGTTAGTGTGTAGTGTGTGTGTAGTGTGTAGTGTTTAGTGTGTTAGTGTGTAGTGTAGTGTGTAGTGTGTGTAGTGTGTAGTGTGTGTGTAGTGTGTAGTAGTGTGTAGTGTTTAGTGTGTGTGTAGTGTGTAGTGTTTAGTGTTTGTGTGTGTGTGTGTAGTGTGTAGTGTGTAGTGTGTAGTGTGTGTGTAGTGTTGTAGTGTGTAGTGTGTAGTGTTTAGTGTTTAGTGTGTAGTGTGTAGTGTGTGTAGTGTGTAGTGTGTGTGTAGTGTGTAGTGTTTAGTGTGTAGTGTGTAGTGTGTAGTGTTTAGTGTGCAGTGTGTAGTGTGTAGTGTGTAGTGTGTAGTGTGTAGTGTGTAGTGTGTAGTGTGTAGTGTGTAGTGTTTAGTGTGTAGTGTGTAGTGTTTAGTGTGTAGTGTGCAGTGTGCAGTGTGTAGTGTGTAGTGTTTAGTGTGTAGTGTGTAGTGTGTAGTGTGTAGTGTGCAGTGTGTAGTGTTTAGTGTGCAGTGTGTAGTGTGCAGTGTGTTAGTGTTTAGTGTAGTGTGTAGTGTGTAGTGTGTAGTGTGTAGTGTTTAGTGTGTAGTGTGTAGTGTGTAGTGTGTAGTGTGTAGTGTGTAGTGTGTAGTGTTAGTGTGTAGTGTTTAGTGTGTTAGTGTGTGTGTAGTGTGTAGTGTGTAGTGTGTAGTGTGCAGTGTGTAGTGTTTAGTGTTGTAGTGTTTAGTGTGTAGTGTGTAGTGTTAGTGTGTAGTGTGTAGTGTGTAGTGTGTGTAGTGTTGTGTGTAGTGTTTAGTGTGTAGTGTGTAGTGTGTAGTGTGTAGTGTTTAGTGTTTAGTGTGTAGTGTTTAGTGTGTAGTGTGTAGTGTGTAGTGTGTAGTGTGTAGTGTGTAGTGTGCAGTGTGTAGTGTGCAGTGTGTAGTGTGCAGTGTGTAGTGTGTAGTGTGTAGTGTGTAGTGTGTAGTGTGTAGTGTGTAGTGTGTAGTGCAGTGTGTAGTGTGTAGTGTGCAGTGTGCAGTGTGCAGTGTGTAGTGTGCAGTGTGTAGTGTGCAGTGTGTAGTGTGTAGTGTTCAGTGTGTAGTGTGTAGTGTGTAGTGTTTAGTGTGTAGTGTGTAGTGTGTAGTGTGTAGTGTTTAGTGTGTAGTAGTGTGTAGTGTGTAGTGTGTAGTGTTTGTAGTGTGTAGTGTGTAGTGTGTAGTGTGTAGTGTGTAGTGTGTAGTGTTTAGTGTGTAGTGTTTAGTGTGTAGTGTGTAGTGTGTAGTGTGTAGTGTGTAGTGTGTAGTGTGTAGTGTGCAGTGTGCAGTGTGTGTGTTAGTGTTTGTAGTGTTCAGTGTGTAGTGTGTAGTGTGTAGTGTGTAGTGTGTAGTGTGTAGTGTGTAGTGTGTAGTGTTAGTGTGTCAGTGTGTAGTGTGTAGTGTGTAGTGTTAGTGTGTAGTGTGTAGTGTGTAGTGTGTAGTGTGTGTGTTGTAGTGTTAGTGTGTGTAGTGTGTGTTAGTGTGTAGTGTGTAGTGTTAGTGTTTAGTGTGTAGTGTTCAGGTGTTAGTTTAGTGTTAGTGTTCAATGTGCAGTGTGCAGTGTTGTAGTGTGCAGTGTAGTGTGTAGTGTGTAGTGTGAGTGTGCAGTGTTAGTGTGCAGTGTGTAGTGTGTAGTGTGTAGTGTGCAGTGTGCAGTGTGTAGTGTGTAGTGTGCAGTGTGTAGTGTGCAGTGTGTAGTGTGTAGTGTGTAGTGTGCAGTGTGTAGTGTGTAGTGTGTAGTGTGTAGTGTGTGTGTGTAGTGCAGTGTGAGTGGCAGTGTGTAGTGTAGTGTGCAGGTTAGTGTGTATGTGTAGTGTGTAGTGTGCAGGAGATTTGTAGTGTAGTGTGTAGTGTTAGTGGTAGGTGTAGTGTGTGTGTTAGTGTTTGTGTAGTGTGTAGTGTGTGTGTGGGTAGTGTGTAGTGTGTAGTGTGTAGTGTGTAGTAGTGTGTAGTGTGTAGTGGGTAGTGTGTGTGTGTGTAGTGTGTAGTGTGCAGTGGTAGTGTGTAGTGTGCAGTGTGTAGTGTTTAGTGTGTAGTGTTTAGTGTGTAGTGTGTAGTGTGTAGTGTGTAGTGTAGTGTGTAGTGGGTTGTGTAGTGGTAGTGTGTAGTGGTAGTGTGAGTTTGTAGTGTGTAGTGTGTAGTGTGCAGTGTGTAGTGTGTAGTGTGTAGTGTGTGTGTAGTGTGTAGTGTGTAGTGTGTAGTGTAGTGTGTAGTGTTAGTGTTTAGGTGTAGTGTGTTATGTAGTTGTAGTGTGTGTGTGTAGTGTGTAGTGTGTAGTTTAGTGTGTAGTGTGCAGTGTGTGTGTGCAGTGTGTAGTGTGTAGTGTGTAGTGTGTAGTGTGTGTGTAGTGTGAGTGTTTAGTGTGTAGTGTTAGTGTGTAGTGTGTAGTTTGTAGTGTGTAGTGTGTAGTGTGTAGTGTGTAGTGTGTAGTGTGTAGTGTGTGTGTGTTAGTGTTGTAGTGTGTAGTGTGTAGTGTGTAGTGTGTGTGTAGTGTGTAGTGTGTGTAGTGTGCAGTGTGTAGTGTTTAGTGTGTAGTGTGTAGTGTTGTGTAGTGTGTAGTGTAGTGGGTAGTGTGTAGTGGGTAGTGTGTAGTGTCCTCACCATGCTCTCAGCGCCCCCTGCTGCTGGGACGTAGATGAGGCGATATTCTTTGACCCTCCCCTCGGCGGGTTCCCAGCGAACGTTCAGCGTCGTCATGGTCGGGTTCAACACCTGCAGGTTCCTCACACCCCCCAGAGGCTCTGCACACACACACACACACACACACACACACACACACACACACACACACACACACACACACACACACACACACACACACACACACACACACACACAACACACACACACACACACACACACACACACACACACACACACACACACACACACAACACACACACACACACACACACACACACACACACACACACACACACACACACACACACACACACACACAGACACACACACACACACACACACACACACACACAGAACACACACACACACACACACACACACACACACACACACACACACACACACACACACACACACACACACACACACACACACACACACACACACACACACACACACACACACACACACACACACACACACACACACACACACACACACACACACACACACACACACACACACAGACACACACACACACACACACACACACACACACACAGACACACACACACACACACACACACACACACACACACACACACACACACACACGACACACACACACACACACACACGCACACACACACACACACACACACACACACACACACACACAACACACACACACACACACAGAACACACACACACACACACACACACACACACACCAAGAACACACACACACAGAACACACACAGACACACACACACAGACACACACACACACACACACACACACACACACACAGGAGTCAGGCTCAGGAACGATTTGTTTATTTTCCATTTAAATTGAGAATATGGTGTTATTAATAATAATAATAATTAAAATAATAATCATAATAATAATAATAATAATAATAATAATAATAATAATAATAATAATAATAATAATAATAATAATAATAATAATAATAATAATTCTTCTACTTCTATTTTCGACACATTTACACAGTGAACCAGGGGGTGTTTCGTGGGCCTTTAAACCTGACTGCAGGATAAAGAGTGAAGCCTGTCGTCTTCTGCAGCAGACGGACAGACGGACAGTGGGACGTCTTACTTGTCTTTCCCCGGGTGCTTATGTCGGCGCTCACAGCAGCAGGGTACACCGCCGCCACACTCACAGAGTACTCAGTGTCAGGGCGGAGCTTCTGGAGGACCGCCGTGTTCTTCTTTGGCCCAACCTGAACCTGCACACAGTGTTGGGAAGTTTACTTTTAAAATGTAATCCCCTACAGATTACAGATTACACACACCAAAATGTAGTTTGTAACGTAATCTATTAAATTACTTAAAGTGAGTAATGTAATCTGATTACTTTGGATTACTTGGTTTGTTGTAAAGAAACAAAGACGAGGAAATCTTCACATAAGAAGTTTTGTCTGATAAAAGAAAATAAAAAGTCCAGACTTTACTGAACCAAATTAAAAATATTATTGATAGAAGAAGAAGAAACACGTCCACACAGCAGGATTTAGTCCTGGTTTAGTCCTGTTTTAGTCCCGGTTTAGTCCTGGTTTAGACCTGATTTAGATCTAGTTTATACCTGGTTTAGTCCCGTTTTAGTCCTGTTTAGTTTTTTGGTTTAGACCTGGTTTTAGACCTGGTTTAGTCCTGTTTTAGTCCTGGTTTAGACCTGGTTTAGACCTGGTTTTAGACCTGGTTTNTGTAGTGTAGTGTGCAGTGTGTAGTGTGTAGTGTGTAGTGTGTGTGCAGTGTGTAGTGTGTGTAGTGTGTAGTGTGTAGTGTGTGTAGTGTGTAGTGTGTGCAGTGTGTAGTGTGTGCAGTGTAGTAGTGTGTAGTGTGTAGTGTAGTGTGCAGTGTGTAGTGTGCAGTGTGTGTGTTGTAGTGTGTAGTGTTTAGTGTGTGTGTGTAGTGTGTAGTGTAGTGTGTAGTGGGTAGTGTAGTGTAGTGTGTAGTGTGTAGTGTGTAGTGTAGTGTGTAGTGTAGTGTGTAGTGTGCAGTGTAGTGTGCAGTGTGTAGTGTTTAGTGTGTGTGTAGTGTGTGTGTAGTGTGTAGTGTGTAGTGTAGTGTGTAGTGTGTGTGTAGTGTGTAGTGTGTGTAGTGTAGTGTGTAGTGTGTAGTGTGTGTGTAGTGTGTAGTGTGTAGTGTGTAGTGTGTAGTGTGTAGTGTGTGTGTAGTGTGTGTGCGTAGTGTGTAGTGTGCAGTGTGTAGTGTGCAGTGTGTGTGTGTAGTGTGTAGTGTGTAGTGTGTAGTGTGTAGTGTGCAGTGTGCAGTGTGTAGTGTGTAGTGTCCTCACCATGCTCTCAGCGCCCCCTGCTGCTGGGACGTAGATGAGGCGATATTCTTTGACCCTCCCCTCGGCGGGTTCCCAGCGAACGTTCAGCGTCGTCATGGTCGGGTTCAACACCTGCAGGTTCCTCACACCCCCCAGAGGCTCTGCACACACACACACACACACACACACACACACACACACACACACACACACAGACCACACACACACACACACACACACACACACACACACACACACACACACACACACACACACACACACACACACACACACACACACACACACACACACACACACACACACACACACACACACAACACACACACACACACACACACACACACACACACACACACACACACACACACACACACACAGAACACACACACACACACACACACACACACACACACACACAACACACACACACACACACACACACACACACACACACACACACACACACACACACACACACACACACACACACACACACACACACACACACACACACACACACACACACACACACAACACACACACACACACACACACACAACACACACACAGCACACACACACACACACACAGACACACACACACACACACACAGACACACACACACACACACACGCACACACACACACACACACACACACACACACACACACACACACACACACACACACACACACACACACACACACACACACACACACACACACACACACACACACACACACACAGACACACACACACACACACACAGAACACACACACACACACACACACACACACACACACACACACACACACACACACACACACACACACACCACACACACACACACACACACACACACACACACACACACACAGACACACACACACACACACACACACACAAAGACACACACACACACACACACACACACAGAACACACACACACACACACACACACAGACACACACACACACACACACACACACACACACACACAGAACACACACACACAGACACACACACACACACACACACACACACACAACACACACACACAGGAGTCAGGCTCAGGAACGGATTTGTTTATTTTCCATTAAATTGAGAATATGGTGTTATTAATAATAATAATAATAATAATAATAATAATAATAATAATAACAATAATAATAATAATAATAATAATAATAATAATAATAACAATAATAATAATAATAATAATTCTTCTTCTTCTACTTCTACTTTAGACACATTTACACAGTGAACCAGGGGGAAAAAGGTGATTTTGGTGTTTGGCCCTTTAAACCTGACTGCAGGATGAACAGTGAAGCCTGTCGTCTTCTGCAGCAGACGGACAGACGGACAGTGGGACGTCTTACTTGTCTTTCCCCGGGTGCTTATGTCGGCGCTCACAGCAGCAGGGTACACCGCCGCCACACTCACAGAGTACTCAGTGTCAGGGCGGAGCTTCTGGAGGACCGCGGTGTTCTTCTTTGGCCCAACCTGAACCTGCACACAGTGTTGGGAAGTTTACTTTTAAAATGTAATCCCCTACAGATTACAGATTACACACACCAAAATGTAGTTTGTAACGTAATCTATTAAATTACTTAAAGTGAGTAATGTAATCTGATTACTTTGGATTACTTGATTTGTTGTAGAAAAGCAAAGACGAGGAAGAAGTTTTGTCTGATAAAAGAAAATAAAAAGTCCAGACTTTACTGAACCAAATGAAAAATATTATTGATAGAAGAAGAAGAAACACGGTCCATGCGGCATGGTCCTGTTAAATCCTGTTTTAGTTCCTGTTTTAGTCCTGGTTTAGACCTGGTTTTAGTCCTGGTTTAGTCCTGTTTTAGTCCTGGTTTAGACCTGGTTTAGATCTAGTTTAGACCTGGTTTAGTCCCGTTTTAGTCCTGTTTTATTTTTGGTTTAGACCAGGTTTTAGACCTGGTTTAGTCCTGTTTTAGTCCTGGTTTAGACCTGGTTTAGTCCTGTTTTAGTCCTGTTTTAGTCCTGGTTTAGACCTGGTTTAGACCAGGTTTTAGACCTGGTTTAGTCCCTGGTTTAGTTAGACCGTTTTAGACCTGGTTTAGTCCTGTTTTAGTCCTGGTTTAGACCTGGTTTAGATCTAGTTTAGACCTGGTTTAGTCCCGTTTTAGTCTTGGTTTAGACCTGGTTTTAGACCTGGTTTAGACCTGGTTTAGTTTCTGGCCATGAGTGGAATTACTGAAAAAAAAAAGGGGATGTCGCCCAAAACGCGAAAACAGGAAAACAGTTAAATCCCTCTGTGTAATCGATTTATTTAATCAAAGTAACTGTAATCCAATTACCACTCACTGAAACAGTAACTGTAACTGAATACAGTTACTCATCATTTGTACTCTGATTACTCTGGTACATGTAATCTGTTACTCCCCGACACTGAACCTGCACGGCACAAAAAAAAACAAAAAAACAACAACAATCTGAATTTGTTTTTGCCACACAGAGACCAGATTTCACTTTTGTTTTTTGCCGCTCTGAGTCACACTCTGAGTCGCTCTGAAGAACGAAAGCCAGGACCTGACACCGAGAAGAACGAGAAGAACGAGAAGAACGAGAAGAACGAGAAGAACGAGAAGAACGAGGAGAACGAGAAGAACGAGGAGAACGAGGAGGAGGAGGAGGAGGAGGAGGAGGAGGGCTAACCACTCTGCCACAGTGTTTACGGCGGGAGGAGAGCGGAGGAGATCTAAACCAGGACCGAGGGCAGATCTAAACCAGGATCAAAGAGAGACCGGAGTCCGGACCTGAGCCAAAAACCTGCTCCAAGTCTGAACGGCCACAAAAAAAAAACGGAAGAGAAATACGTCCTGGTGTCGTTAAACAAGAGGAAGAGAAGAGAGGGAGGAGAGGACGAGAGGGAGTGAGACGAGGAGGAGGAGGAGGAGGAGGAGGAGGAGGAGGAGGAGGAGGAGGAGGAGGAGGAGGAGGAAGAGATGGAGGAGGAAGAGGAGGAGGAGGAGGAGGAGGAGGAGGAGGAGGAGGAGGAGGGCGAGGTCTGTCGTCAACGATCCGGACGGTGAAATAAAGTGGAGCGTGATCAAAGGAGCAGTAAATGTTTCACAATAAAAAAGGAGGAGAGAAGAACGGAGACATCTGCTCCACACGATCTGAAACATCTGGAGTAAGATCAGATACAGAGAGAGGGAGGGAGGGAGAGAGAGAGAGAGAGAGAGAGAGAGAGGTAATGTGGGGGAAGTGTCTTGCCCAAGGACACAATGACAGAGTCTGGGCTGAGGGGAGATTCTGTTCTCGGGGTTGGTGGAGAAAAAAGAGCCACAAAACGTCTGCTTTCCTTTCGCTTCTCTCCTCCCTCTCTCCTCCTTCTCCCTTCTCTTCTCCTCCCTCCCTCTTTCCTCTCTCTCTTCTCTCTGTCTCCTCCTTCTCTCCTCTCTGTCTCCTCCCTCTCTCCTCCTTTCTCTCCTCTCTCCTCCTTCTCTTCTCCTCTCTTCTCCTCTCTTCTCCTCTCTCTCTCCTCTCTCTCTCTCTCCCTCTCTCTCTTCTCTCCTCTCTCTCTCTCTCCTCTCTCTTCCTCTCTCCTCTCCTCTCTCTTCTCCTTTTCTTCTCCTCCCTCTCTCCTCTCTCTCTCTTCTCTCTCTCTCTCTCTCCTCCTCTCTCTCTCTCTTTCCTCTCTTCTCTCTCTCTCTCTCTCTCTCTCTCTCTTCTCCTCTCTCTCTCCTCCTTCTCCTCTCTCCTCCTCTTCTCTCTGTCTCCTCCCTCTCCTCTCTCCTCTCTTCTCCCTCTCTCCTCCCTCTCCCCTCCCTCTCTCCTCTCTCTTCTCTCTTCTCCTCTCTGTCTCCTCCCTCCCTCTCTTCTCCCTCTCTCCTCTCTCTTCTCTCCCTCTTTTCTCTGTGTAAATATTCATTAGTCAGAGTGGACTCACAGTCTGGGGTTCCTCTCTTCTCTCCTCTCTTCTCCTCCCTCTCTCCTCTCTCCCTCTTTATTTCTCTGTGTATATGTTTGTTTGTCAGTGTGGACTCACAGTCAGAGGTTCTTTCTCTCTCTCTTTCTTTCTCTGGTGTATATATATTCATTCGTTTGTCAGTGTGGACTCACAGTCAGAGGTTCCTCTCCGTCCTGGGGGGCCAGGGGGGAGTAGGTGACCCTGTAGTTGAGCACTTTTCCCGGGGCGGGGTCCCAGCGAGCCGTCAGCGCGGTGGTGGAGGCGTTTACGATCTTCAGGTTCTGAGGAGGCTGAGACGACACTGGACACGACCGACAGAAGAAGAAGAAGAAGAGTTAGAACGACAGAAGAAGAGAGGAGGAGGGGGGGGGTTATGGGGGTTATGGGGGGGTGAGGATGATCCTGTGAAGATGATGGTTTTAAATGAATGAATGAAACAAACGTCGTCCTGGAGCAGAGCTGACGACACTGAGACACTCCAACGGTTTCACCTTTTCAAATTGAATCTGTTCTTTTTGAACCACAAACCGTCTGGTCACGAGGCGCCGCTTAACCCCCTGAACCACTGAGAGTCTGAGTGTCTCAGCCTCCTCAGAGTCACATGCAGCATTACACATGAACTGATGAATGAACGAATGAACACATGAACATAATCATGTGAATATGAATAAATAAATATGAATAAATATGAATAAATATGAGTTATATGTACATGGGTAAATATGAACACATGAACATATATGAATATGAATCTATATGAGCATATATGAACACATGAAGAGATGAGCAGAGGGTCATAGATGAATATGAATCTATGTGAGTAAATATGAGCACATGAGCAGATGAGTAGATGAACATATATGAATGAGTATATATGAGTAAATATGGGTAAATATGAACACATGAGCAGATGAACACATGAGCAGATGAACACATGAGACACATGAGCAGATGAACACATGAGTTTGGAGACGTACCGTCTGGAGCCGTCATCACTGCAGAGAGTCAAAGATCTGTGTTACTCACATTTCACAAACGTTCAGATTCTTTTGCACGATTCAGTTTCATGTTTCATAAATGACACATTTAAGTCCAGAGGAAATTCAGTTGAACCTTCATGTTTGATTTTCCTCTGCGTGACCATTGTTATATTTCTCTGTTTTACAAGTTTTATTTATTTGTTGACAAAGGAAGAAAAGGTTTCATTTCCATGTTGAGTCTGAGTTCAGGAGTGAGGAGCTGCTGTGATCCTGCGCCAACCTAAAGACGTCCTCTGAAACCTTTTCAACCACAAAACCTCCTGTACCCCCCTGTACCCTCCCAGACTCTCCTGGACCCCCCTGTACCCCCCTGTACCCCCTGACCTGTACTCTTAACCCTGTACCCCTGACCCCCTGTCCCCCTGTACCCCCTGTCCCTACCCCCCTGTACCCTCCTGTACCCCCCTGACCCCCTGTACCCCCCCTGTACCCCCTGTACCCCCTGTACCCCCCTGTACCCCCTGTACCCCTGTACCCCCTGTACCCCCTGTACCCCCCTGTACCCCCTGTACCCTCCTGTACCCCTGTACCCCCTGTACCCCCTACCCCCTGTACCCCCTGTACCCCCCTGTACCCTCCTGTACCCCCCCCCTGTACCCCCCTGTACCCCCCTGTACCCCCCCCCTGTACCCCCCTGTCCCCCTGTACCCCCCTGTACCCCCTGTACCCCCTGTACCCTGTACCCCCTGTACCCCCCTGTACCCCTGTACCCCCTGTACCCTCCTGTACCCCCCTGTACCCCCCTGTACCCCCCTCCCTGTACCCCCTGTACCCCCTGTACCCCCTGTACCCTCCTGTACCCTCCTGTACCCCCTGTACCCCCTGTACCCCCCTGTACCCCCTGTACCCCCTGTACCCCCTGTACCCCCCTGTACCCCCCTGTACCCCCTGTACCCCCTGTACCCCCTGTACCCTCCTGTACCCCCTGTACCCCCTTACCCTCCTGTACCCTCCTGTACCCTCCTGTACCCCCCTGTACCCCCTGTACCCCCTGTACCCCCTTGTACCCCCCTGTACCCCCTGTACCCCCCTGTACCCCCCTGTACCCTCCTGTACCCCCCTGTACCCCTCCTGTACCCCCTGTACCCCCTGTACCCCCCTGTACCCTCCTGTACCCTCCTGTACCCCCCTGTACCCTCCTGTACCCTCCTGTACCCTCCTGTACCCCTGTACCTCCTGTACCCCTCCTGTACCCCCCTGTACCCTCCTGTACCCCCTGTACCCCCTGTACCCTCCTGTACCCTCCTGTACCCCCTGTACCCTCCTGTACCCCCTGTACCCCCCTGTACCCCCCTGTGTACCCTCCTGTACCCCCCTGTACCCCCCTGTACCCTCCTGAACAAACTAAAGTCACATTTTTCTACTTTCAGCGGCTCAAATCTTTTGTCAACTTCTCAACTTTCCCCAAATACATCACTGCTCCGCCCGGAAAGTTCCGCAGTGTGACTTTAAACAGCTCCGTCTTACATTTATCCAATTAAACTGTTTTTTTTTAATCGCTCAAACGTACGACAGTTACACAACGCAGCTATGAAACCATTTTATTTATGGGCCATTTTGAGAGAAAAACACAAAAAGTGATGAAAAGTGAAGTGATGATTTGGGGTTTAGACTCCGACACGTGTCACATATTTTTATTTTTATTTTTTTACTCAGTTTGGTGCGTGAGTTTGGCTCTGGGCTGTAAACAAAAAAGACTCACTGCAGGAAAATCCTCACAGGCCCAACAGGACAGAGTAAAGCCACTGTGTAACTTTTCTAACACTTTCAGTTCTGAGTTGTAAAATGTACAAACGTGTGTCGTTCATTCAGTCGTTTTTCAATCAAAAATCAAAAATAAGAAAATGAAAAAAAAACAACAGTTTTCTTCATTATTTGTCTCCAAAACCAAAATAAAAAAACAGATCATGATTCATTTTTTCAGTTTTCGATTTTATGTTTAAATGAAGAATGGAAAAAACTGATAACGGCCGTTTCCTGTTTACGTGACTGAACCAGGACTGAACCAGGACTGAACCAGGACTGAACCAGGACTGAACCAGGACTGAACCAGGACTGAACCAGGACTGATCCAGGTCTAAACCAGGACTGAACCAGGACTGATCCAGGTCCAAGACCAGAGCGGGACTGAGACCGGGACCAGCAGTCTGTGCAGTTCCGTGTCATCGTCTGTGCGCTGGTTCTGTGTGGGGAAAGTGAGATGTTCTGTGGACTCCAGGTCCGGACGAGCTGCTCCAGTCGTCCACACTCAAGAACCACGACAAAACATCCAACTGACACTTTCACACCGACGAAAACAAACTGAACTAAGAGCTTTTGGTTCAAATGGACCAGGTCCAGGACCAGAGCGGGACCAGAGGCCGAGACAAGACCAGGACCAGAGCAGGACCAGAGCAGGACCAGACCCAGGACCAGAGACCAGAGACCAGAGCGGGACCAGACCAGAGCGGGACCAGGACCAGAGGGACCAGAGCGGGACCAGAGCGGGACCAGAGCGGGACCAGAGCAGGACCAGAGCGGGACCAGAGGCCGAGACAAGACCAGGACCAGAGCGGAGGTTCAGAGCCCATGACAGGGCCGGAGCTTGAAGCTGAGGCTCTGACCCTGCGGAGGCTCGGAGTTAAAGCTTGGAGTCCACCCTGGTCCTGGTCTGGTCCCGGTCTCAGTCCAGCTCTGGTCCCGGTCTCAGTCTGGCTCTGGTCCCGGTCTGGTCCTGGACCTGGATCAGTCCTGGATCAGTCCTGGTTCAGTCCTGGTTCAGTCACTGACGTCATGTAAACAGGAAACAGCTGTTATCAGTTTTTTTCCATTTAAACACAAAATCGAAAACTGAAAAAATGAATCATGATCTGTTTTTTTTATTTTGGTTTTGGAAACAAATAATGAAGAAAACTGTTGTTTTTTTGTTTTCTTATTTTTGATTTTACATTGAAAACGAATGAACGAACGACACACGGGTTTGTACAAAGTGAAAAAGAAGATTGATTCGTTTTTGCTGAATAAAAGTGTGGTTCAGGTGCGTGTGGACAGGTGATTGACAGGTGAGTGACAGGTGAGTGGCAGGTGAGTGACAGGTGAACGGCAGGTGAACGGCAGGTGAACGGCAGGTGAACGGCAGGTGCAGACTTACAGGTGCGCTCACTGCCCATCAGGTCTTCGCTCTCGGACTCGTCGGGGTAAATGGCCGTAACCGTCACCAGGTACTCGGTGTCCGGGTCCAAGTCCGGCAGAACGTGACTCGTCTCGTCCGAGTCCAGGATCGTCTACGACACAGAGACCGGGACTAAAACCAGGACTAGACCAGGACTAGACCGGGACTAAAACCAGGACTAGACCGGGACTAAAACCAGGACTAGACCGGGACTAAAACCAGGACTAGACCGGGACTAAAACCAGGACTAGACCGGGACTAAAACCAGGACTAGACCAGGACTAGACCAGGTCTAACCCAGGACTAAACCAGGACTAAACCAGGTCTAAACCAGGCCTAACACCAGGACTAAACCAGGACTAAATCAGGACTAAACAAGGACTAAACCAGGACTAAAACAGGACCAAAACCAGGTCTAAATCCTGATCTAACCAAGACTAAACTAATTAAGAGAAAACCAAAGTTAATCTGATTAAATGAACATGAACCAGGACTAAAGCAGAACTAAACCTGGACTAAACCAGGACTAAAGCAGAACTAAACCTGGACTAAACCAGAACTAAACCAGGACTAAACCAGGACTAAATCAGGACTAAAGCAGAACTAAACCTGGACTAAATCAGGACTAAAGCAGGAACTAAACCCTGGACTAAACTAAACCAGGACTAAACAGGCAGAACTAAACCTGGACTAAACCAGGACTAAACCAGAACTAAACCAGGACTAAACCAGGACTAAACCGGGACTAAACCAGGACTAAACCAGGACTAAACCAGGACTAAACCAGGACTAAACCAGGACTAAACCAGGAACCAGGACTAAACCAGGACTAAACCAGGACTAAACCAGGACTAAACCAGGACTAAACCAGGACTAAACCAGGACTAAACCAGGACTAAACCAGGACCTCTAAACCAGGACTAAACCAGGAACTAAACCAGGACTAAACCAGGACTAAACCAGGACTAAACCAGGACTAAACCAGGACTAAACCAGGTCTAAACCAGGACTAAACCAGGACTCTAAACCAGGACTAAACCAGGACTTCTAAACCAGGCAGGACTAAACCAGGACTAACCAAAAACCAGGACTAAACCAGGACTAAACCAGGACTAAACCAGAACTAAACCAGGACTACAGTGGACCAGACTAAAAACATTATTATTAAGGAAACAGGATTATGACAAGAAAAAATAAACGGGACATTTGGACTAAATGGATCTTTGGCTTGACTAAAGTCCAGGTCCAGGTCCTCGACCGAACCAGAGCCTCCACAAAACCAAAAACCATCTCCACACTTAGAACTTCAGTCTGTGAGCCAAGACCAAGACCGAGACCGAGACCGAGACCGAGGACCAGGACTAATGCAGGACTGAACCAGGACTAAACCGGGACAAAACAAGGAGTAAACCAGGACTGAAACTGGACTAAACACTGACTAAAACCAAGACTAAAACCAGGTCTAAACCAGGACTAAAACAGGACTCAACCAAGACTAAACCAGGACTAAACCAGGACTAAAACCAAGATAAAAACAGGGCTAAAACCAAGACTAAACCCAGGTCTAAACTAGGACTAAAACAGGACTAAGACGGAAGTAAACCAGGACTAATTCAGGACTAAAATGGCAAAAAAACAGGACAAAAATGGGACAAAAGAAGGCGTAACCCAGGACTAAACCAAGACTAAACCCAGGTCTAAACTAGGACTAAAACAAGACTAAATCAGGATTAAACCAGGACTAAAACAGGACTAAAACCAGAACAAAACAAGGAGTAAACCAGGACTGAAACTGGACTAAACTATGACTAAAGCCAAGATAAAAGCAGGGCTAAAAACAAGATTAAACCCAGGTCTATACAGACTAAACTGGACTAAAACAAGATAAAAGCAGGGCTAAAAACAAGATTAAACCCAGGTCTATACCAGGACTAAAAACTGGACTAAACCAGGACTAAAACCGAGATCAAACTCAGGCCTAAACTAGGACTAAACCAGGACTAAACCAGGAATAAAATGGAACAAAACAGAAGAAAAAAAGGACAAAACAAGGAGTAAACCAGGATTGAAACCAGACTAAACCAGGACTAAACCAAGACAAAAAACTGGACTAAAACCAAGATTAAAACCAGGTCTAAACTAGGACTAAAACAGGACTAAATCAGGACTAAGACAGGACTAAAACAGGACTAAATCAGGACTAAAACAGGACTGAACCACAACAACCAAAACAAGGAGTAAACCAGCAGGAACCAATAAATATTTAGCCAAGATTAAACCAGAACCAGACCGGGATCAGACTGGAACCAAACCAGGACCAGACAAGGATCAGACTGTGACTAAACCAGGACCAGAGCAGGACCAGAGCAGGACCAGAGCAGGACCAGAGCAGGACCAGAGCAGGACCAGAGGGTCTGTGGGAGGAGGAGGTTTGTGTACGAGACCCGGGGGAGGGGCTTTGTGGGTCTGGAGGAACAATGGGACCGAGACTCTGCGGTTTGAAAAAAAAAGACTCTTACGAAATGAAGCTGCGTAAAAACACGGGACAAAACAAAAGTGGAGTTTTATTGTGGATTTGAAATATAACGACGTTTTAACGACGTTTTAACGACGTTTTAACGACGTTTTAATGACGTTTTAACAACGTTTTAACGATGTTCTGCGTCGCCCTGAGACTCTGACGCTTTAAACACCCACGACTTTATAATGAGTCTGATCCAGTCTGAGTCTGGACCTCCTCTGGACCTCCCCTGGACCTCCCCTGGACCTCCTCTGGACCTGCTCTGGACCTCCTCTGGACCTCCTCTGGACCTCCCCTGGACCTCCCCTGGACCTCCCCTGGACCTCCTCTGGACCTCCCCTGGACCTCCTCTGGACCTGCTCTGGACCTCCCCTGGACCTCCCCTGGACCTCTGGGATTTGGGTCTTTCTTCACAGATGATATGAAAATATGAAATGCTCCTGGTGACAGGACTAAACCAGGACTAAACCAGGACTAAACCAGGACTAAACCAGGACTAAACCAGGACTAAAACCAGGACTAAACCAGGACTAAACCAGGACTAAACCAGGACTAAACCAGGACTAAACTAGGAATAAAACCAGGACTAAACCAGGACTAAACCAGGACTAAACCAGGACTAAACCAGGACTAAAACAGGACTAAACTAGGAATAAAACCAGGACTAAAACCAGGACTAAACCAGGACTAAAACAGGACTAAACTAGGAATAAAACCAGGACTAAAACCAGGACTAAACCAGGACTAAAACAGGACTAAAACAGGACTAAAACAGGACTAAACCAGGACTAAAACCAGGACTAAACCAGGACTAAACTAGGAATAAAACCAGGACTAAAACAGGACTAAAACCAGAACTGAACCAGGACTAAACCAGCGCCCTCAGCCCGGTCTCTCCTCCACTGGGACTGGACTAAACCTGGACCATCGTGGGTCTAGACTCGGTCTTAGACTCGGTCTTACTATCTTGGGTTCTCCGGCGTCTCCGCTCTTGATCCAGGAGAGTCTGTAGAGGGCGACGTCCGGAGCTCCGTGCTGCCACGACGCCCGGAACGACGTCTGAGTCACGTCCGAGAAAACCAGGCTCCTCGGAGCAGGAACCACGTCTGGAAAGAAAAGAAGAGGTCAGGACGAGGAGGAGGAGAAGAGGAGGAGGAGAACAAGAGGAGAAGAACAAGAGGAGAAGAACAAGAGGAGAAGAACAAGAGGAGGAGAAGAGAGGAGAGAAGAAGAGGAGAAGAAGAGGAGGAAAAGGAGGAAGAAGAAGGAGGAGAGGAGAACAAGAGGAGAAGAACAAGAGAGGAGAAAGAACAGAGGAGAGAAGAACAAGAGGAGAAGAACAAGAGGAGGAGAACAAGAGGAGGAAAACAAGAGGAGGAGGAAGAAGAGGAGAGAAGAAGAGGAGAAGAAGAGAGGAGAGAACAAGAGGGAGAGAACAGAGGAGAAGAACAAGAGGAGAAGAACAAGAGGAGAAGAACAAGAGAGGAGAAGAAAAGGAGGAGGAGAAGAAGAGGAGAAGAACAAGAGGAGAAGAACAAGAGGAGAAGAACAAGAGGAGAAGAACAAGAGGAGGAGAAGAGGAGGAGAAGAAGAGGAGGAGGAGAACAAGACGAGGAGAAGAAGAGGAGAAGAACAAGAGGAGGACAACAAGAGGAGAAGAAACAAAAGAGGAGAAACAGAGGAGGAGAACAAGAGGAGAAACAGAGGAGGAGAAGAACAAGAGGAGGAGAACAAGAGGAGAAGAACAAGAGGAGGAGAAGAAGAGGAGAACAAGAGGAGAACAAGAGGAGGAGAAACAAAAGAGGAGAAACAGAGGAGGAGAACAAGAGAGAACAAGAGGAGAAGAACAAGAGGAGAAGAACAAGAGGAGGAGAACAAGAGGAGGAGAATAAGAGCAGGAGAACAGAACGAGGAGAAGAAGAGAGAAGAGAGGAGAACAAGAGGAGAAGAAGGAACAAAAGAGGAGAAGAACAGAGAAAGAAGAAAAGAGAGGAGAACAAGAGGAGAGAACAAGAGGAGAAGAACAAGAGAGAGAGAACAAGAGGAGAAGAACAGAGAGGAGAGGAGAACAAGAGGAGAGAACAAGAGGAGAACAAGAGGAGAGGAGAGAACAGAGGAGAGAAGAAGAGGAGGAGAAGAAGAGAGAAGAAGAGAAGAGAGAGAACAAGAGAAGAAGAGAGAAGAACAAGAGGAGAGGAGGAGAAGAAGAGGAGAAGAACAAGAGGAGAAGAACAAGAGAGAGAGGAGAAGACAGAGAGAGAACAAGAGAGAGGAGGAGAACAAGAGGAGAAACAGAGACAGGAGAGCAGGCAGGAGCAGACAGGAGAGAGAAAAGGAGCAGGAGAGAGCAGGAGAAGAGCAGCAGCAGGCAGGAGCAGCAGGAGCAGACAGGAGCAGACAGGAGCAGACAGGAGCAGGCAGGAGCAGACAGGAGCAGCAGAGCAGGAGCAGACAGGAGCAGACAGGAGCAGACAGGAGCAGACAGGAGCAGACAGGAGCAGACAGGAGCAGCAGGAGCACAGGAGAGCAGGCAGGAGCAGACAGGAGAGCAGGAGCAGCAGGAGCAGACAGGCAGCAGAGCAGACAGGAGCAGACAGGAGACAGAGCAGGAGCAGAGCCGCCAGGAGCAGGCAGGAGCAGGCAGGAGCAGACAGGAGCAGACAGGAGCAGACACGCTGTCACACTGTAAACCCCACTATTTTTTCAGCATAACAAATCAAGCTATCATTGCTTATAATTTCATATTTTTACAAAGGCGGGACCATTACTAAAGTAAACAAGTAGTAAATGCTCATATAATCAGGTATCTGCCTGCACTATTCATTCTAAGTGGTGATAGCTCAGGTGTTTAGGTTTTATACGCGGTGGGAGGGGCTTGTGAGCTGAACAGCCGAGAAGACGGCAGAATCACGGTCCTTTTGAATGAGTGTCTGACTTGGTAAGTACACAGATGTTTCACTGCTAACATTACGTCTTATGTGTCTTTTGATGTCTAAATTCGCCCAAAGAGTCACAGCTGAAGTTATAAAATGCATTTTGCTGCGAAACGACTACAGCCCCGAATATCATCGTTAGCATTGAGCGTGGCAGCATGGCGTGGAAATACAAATTGCAAGCGCTCAACTTCATGCTGTAAACTTGTATTTTGATGCAAAACGTTTTGGAGTTATCTTGAACTAAATTATCCGGTACTTAATTGTACTTTAGCTGTGCTAGCTGTGTTCGCTTGTAGCTTTATGTGATCTACGCCCGCCATTAAACAACACGTCTTTGGTGCANCATAACAAATCAAGCTATCATTGCTTATAATTTCATATTTTTACAAAGGCGGGAACCATTACTAAAGTAAACAAGCAGTAAATGCTCATATAATCAGGTATCTGCCTGCACTATTCATTCTAAGTGGTGGAGCTCAGGGTGTTTAGGTTTTATACGCGGTGGGAGGGGCTTGTGAGCTGAACAGCCGAGAAGACGGCAGAATCACGGTCCTTTTGAATGAGTGTCTGACTTGGTAAGTAACAGATGTTTCACTGCTAAACATTACGTCTTATGTGTCTTTTGATGTCTAAATTCGCCCAAAGAGTCACAGCTGAAGTTATAAAATGCATTTTGCTGCGAAACGACTACAGCCCCGAATATCATCGTTAGCATTGAGCGTGGCAGCATGGCGTGGAAATACAAATTGCAAGCGCTCAACTTCATGCTGTAAACTTGTATTTTGATGCAAAACGTTTTGGAGTTATCTTGAACTAAATTATCCGGGTACTTAATTGTAACTTTAGCTGTGCTAGTGTGTTCGCTTGTCGCTTTATGTGATCTACGCCCGCCATTAAACAACACGTCTTTGGTGCAGCCGTGCAGGCAAAAACTTAATTTACATGGTCAGATATAGCACACAGCTGTAGACACGGCTCGTCTCTCTCTCCAGCGCTTAAAGGTTGTATGGAGGATTTTTTTTAGTTTCAAACTGTCAGTCAAATATTAAAATTCCATTACAGAGACGCAGCAGCTTTGTAATGATGATGACCAAAAAAAAAGAACGAAAATCTATCAACTGTGGACGTGTTGAGGCCAGATAACATCAGCCAATAGAAAAACGAGGCTCCCTCATTTTCTATTGGCTGTTGGGTTGTCAATCAAACTCCCTAGTGTAACTGACTCGTCGGAGCGCGGGGATTACGTGGTTTACGCAGCTGTTCTTAGAGGCTTTTTCGAACTGTCGCTTCCTCGCATTTCGCACAAAGTTTGTCGCGACGGCGGACGAGCATCCACGCAAAAGAAAGTCCGTTTTTGAGGTCGCTGAAAGAAGAAGAGAAGAGGAAAAGGAGCAAAGACAAACTGAGGTGATTCGTGGAGATCTCGTCCAGCGATGGCGCGACCGAAGCAGACGAAGGGTCTAAAAACTGACGCGTCGGTCGCTGAATTACTTCTAGACAGGAAACTTCAACAGTAATTCTGAATGCGCACAAGGACTGTCGCTGTATTTCTCTTCCCTTAAAAAAATCCTCTATACAACCTTTAAGTGTTCGCTACGGTGTCGGGGCATGTGTGAGGTAAACGGGGGAGAAATGTGACAAGTGCGCGCAGCCACCGGAGCAGAGCGGCCGCACGAGAAAGTTCTGTCCGGAAGAGCTGCGCCTCCCGTACACTGACTGCGAGGCGGGTTAAAGTCGAGTTCGGTGCAGTTGTACTACTAGCATTACACTGATTGCGCTCTCTGGGAGAGAGGGAGCGAGTGTGTGTAGATTTGCTCTATTACATATAAAGAGTATAGACTCCGAACAGGCTGTCTGAGCGCGAGAAATGCGGCCGCCATCTTGGGCAGGGCGTCTTATCGACAGACGTAAACCTAAACACTTGAGCTTGTATGCGTTTTCTTGTTCTAAAGTGGCTCATGAGAGTAGGGCTCGGGGAATTACTTTTTTGCAAATAACATTGATTATTTTTATTTGTTGGGATTTGTAAATTCAATATTAATGTACAGTATTTTTGTCCACTTACGAAATGTAATATTAGTTGGCTAAATGTTTAGTGTCAGCTTCGGATGTTAATGTATTTATGATCTCTCTCTGTTTGGTGACGTTTAAAACAGCACTTTAAGACCTGTGAGTTGGATTGGGAACAAGGTGTAAATTCATAAAAATCTTTAATAAAAGCCCAAAATATGTAAGATCTACATACATTTATATTTATTGTTGGAAGCCAAATCTATCTATTTATATTTAAAATGGCTAATATTTTATATCATCCATCTGTGTGTGTAATGAAAAGCTAAAAATTCCTACATCAGTACATTTTCTTCTGTTAAATCCACAATAAATAATACAAAATTTTTATCTGTCAGTCACAAGATCCAACAGAAAAACGCACTGTGGCGCTCCAAGGACTTCCTCATGTTCTAGGAGACCATCCTGAGGAGTTTTTCAAAGCAAGCTTTGTAAGTTCTCATTCTATTTCTTGCCATCTCCAACTCTCTTTAACTCAATCTCTCTCTCTCTCTCTGGCTAGCTCTTTCTCTTTCTCTAGCGCCATATATTTTCCCTGTTTCTGATTATCTCTCTGTAGTAGATACATGTTATACCCCGTGTTGACCACTAGGTGGAGGCATAGGCGGAAGGTTGGGAAAAATGTGTCAGTTGTTGTTCCCGGTTGCTGTTGAACTGTGATTGAGTAACGTTCAGTAAAAACCAAAAGTCATCTACAACCTGTGGTCCGCTCATCCTTCATTAACAAGGATATTACATTTGGCGACGAGGAAACTGGTGAACTCGGGAGACGCTGTTGGTGCAGGAAACAGCTTGAGTGTTTTATGAAACAGTTTCTCGGCTAATGTCGGACGGTGAGGAAGCTGGCGCTAGCGGCGGGATGGCTACTTCCATGGTGGGAGCGCTGACGGCGTTTGACAGTCAGATACAGACCTGGGAGGAATATTGTGAAGTTTTGGAGCACTTCTTTGAGGCAAATGGGATTACGGACGCAGGAAGAAAGCGAGCGATTTTGTTGAGCTCCGTCGGCAGCAGGACGTATAGTTTAATGAGGAACTTGCTAAGTCCAGAGAAGCCGGGTGCCAAGTCATTCGCGGAATTGACTGGTTTGCTTCAGTCAC